AGTAGTTTATATATCTCCCGAATATTCTAATGGCAATGTGAATGACATTGAACAAATATATTCAGTTTTACTAAGTGACATAGTAAAATGTAGTAGAAATGGTGACGTAATAGTTCAAGGTGACTTAAATGCCTACACCAATACCCAACCTGATTTTGTTTTATTTGATTCTGAACGTATTAATTCAGATGATATTCTTTATCAACCAGATAAACTTTTGTCAAGAAATAATCTTGACCACAAGCACATTAACAATAGTGGCAAAAATCTTCTGAACCTTTGTAAAGAATCGGGTTTACGAATCTTAAACGGTAGAACAACGATTGACCTAACAGGTCGACCCACCTGTATAACCTATAACGGTTGCAATCTAGTTGATTATTGTCTTGTATCAAAAGACTTTTTAAATTCAATTGGTTATTTTGAAGTACTAGATTTTACTTCCTTATCAAACCATTGTCCAATTACTTGTGCAATATTCGACAGCTTCTGTTCAGAACCAAGCTCAAATAACTCAAATAATTTAAAACCAGTTCCTGGAAAGTTTTTGTGGAATAATGATGCAATAGAATCTTACACTAAGAACATTCACAGCAATCTATTCCAAATTAAATTTTCAGAATTTTTGAAAGATGAATTTTCTGATAGTGATTCTATTTCAAAAGCCTTCAGCTCAATACTTGTTGAGTGTGCAAAAATATCGACTAAACTTATTAAGAGAGGACCTAGGCATAAAACTCGTAAAAATAAGAAAAAACCGTGGTTCTCACAGTCATGTTCTGATCTGCGAATTACAGTAAAAAATTATGAAAAACTTGTAAACAAGAACCCTTTTAATGGAGAATATAGGAAAATGTTCTATACATACAAGGCAAAATACAGAAGATTATGTAAATTTGAAGAGCAAAATTACAGAAACACAATATGTACATGTAATGACATTAACAACAATATTAATAAAAATCCAAAGTCATTCTGGAAATTACTCAATAAATTAGATAAAATCAATGCTGGACAAATTTCATCTCATGATGTTCACCCTGAGGATTTTTATCAGTTTTTTAAAAAACTCAACAAAGCTGACAACAATTACAATAATTTTCATTTAAGAAATAAATAACAAGTTTATAAACTTCAATGGGAATTGAAGTGGGTCGGTCACGTGATCAAATCCTGTGAAGGCCGAAGGCCTTCTCAGAAGATTTGATCACGTACCGACCCACTTCAATTCCCATTGAAGTTTATAAACTTGTTATTTATTACTTATATATACATTTGAAACAGTCAATTGAATATTTTCGAATTAATTATTGCACTAACCGTCCGTCGTAGGTTTTGAAAAATGACGCAAGGTGTAAATCGGCTTGCATGGCGGTTACGCTTCGAATTCATTAGGCTAAGGAGTCTATTTCGAAGGGAATATTTCGTAAAAGGCTAATTGTGATCAGTAATAGTGAACAGATTGTTGTCTGGGAATATTTTTATTCGTGAAATTGATAATCGATGCTGAAAAGACACAAGAAACACGTCCAAAGTTTGATGATAAAAAGTTTGAGGAATTTCGGTCGCCGGAAAGGGATAGGTGGATCCGATGGATTGAGACACTTGTCGGAGCCAGTTTATTTGCAGTTTGATCAAAAACATTCTACTATGTCAGTAACTAAGGGCATACTTATTGTAAATCACTGATTAACACTGAGACACTGGCGACAGCTTTACCATGTTTACATTGGACTACAAAAACACCGAGGTGTTTGGCAGCTGTTCATGGCATGATTGCAATGATATTTTCCAGCAGATTTACACATTTATCGTGAGTAGAATTTAAAGATAAAATATTAGTTTATCATGAAAGATTAACGAAAGGTCTACCCAAAAAATAAGGATGACCGTTAGAGACTGTGCAGCTGACAAAAGTGAAAAAAAAATGTAAACAAAGCTAGACCCCTAATGGTTAATTTTCTGTATGTTCACAGGTTGAATCGATAGCCAACAATCTGAAATACTTATTTACAATGTATTTATCATTTTACTTGCTTGTTTTGTTCATTTTTTGTACATGAAAAGCAAGTAGAGCAGGTCACGTACCGCCGGTACCGGTAGATATTATTGCGCCGTATGATTAGGTCATGTATTGACCTCTGACCTCTGACAAACTTCATACAGAATTGAAGATAATTTCTCTCTGTATGTTTATATAATAGAGAGATACCACAAATGTATATATAAAAGTATAATAGATAAATTTCATGTCTTGAAAGAAAAACTACATCATAACCATTTCCTTGAACAAGATATTACTATCACTGAAATAAGAAGTGCCCTTAAATCCCTGAAAAATGGAAAGAGTTCTTCAATGGATATGATATCAAATGAAATGTTAAAAAGTGGGGGATCTGTAATGCTGAAACCTCTTAAAAAATTATTTAACTTTATACTTAATTCTGGTGTATTTCCAAAAAGTTGGAATGAGAGCTATTTAGTATTACTGTATAAGTCGGGTAATAGGCTTGATCCTAACAACTACCGAGGTATATCAATTACTTCAAATCTAGGAAAACTTTTCAACAGAATAATCCATACTAGGCTAATTGAATTTGTAAACTCTACATCACTGATAAGTGAAAATCAAATTGGTTTCAAGGAAAACTGTAGAACATCAGACCATTTGTTCTCAATAAAAACAATAATTGATCACTACAAAAACAAAAAGGTCTATGCTGCTTTTATTGATCTTAGAAAGGCATTTGACACTGTATGGAGATTAGGTTTATTCTATAAACTTCTTGAATGTAATACTTCCCAAAAAATGTTCAATATTTTATTTTCCATGTATAGTAATACAATGACTAGAATCAAATTTTCTGATGGATTAAATGATGTATTCAATTCTGAGTGTGGTGTCAAACAAGGGGATGTCTTAAGCCCCACACTTTTTAATGTTTTTATTGATGGTATTGTCCATGACTTAAAAAATGGAAAATGTGATCCTGTGCAAGCAAACAATATTCATGTAAATTGTCTGTTATATGCTGATGATATTGTAATATTATCAGAAAGCAAAAGCGGTTTACAAACCAGTCTTGATATTCTCAGTAACTATTGCTCAAGTTGGAAACTTCAAGTTAATGTAGATAAATCTAAAGTTATGATATTTAACTCAAATGGCAAGCCTCAAGGAAATGAATTTAGTTTTAATGGTAATGCAATACAAATTGTACCAAGATACTGTTATTTGGGTATTATGATGAAATGTAATAGGAAGTTTAATTTAGCAACAGCTGTGCTTATTGAAAAGGCTAGAAAAGCATGTTTTAAAATGAAAAGAATTATTGGATTTGATAACCCATGTAAACTTTTAGAAAAACTCTGTGATGCTATTGTACTTCCAGTTCTTCTCTATTGTAGTGAAATATGGGGAGTGGATCTCTCATCCAAAGATATTTCAAATATTGAAAATTTTCACTTAAAATTTATTAAAGACATCCTTGGAGTGCACTGCAAAACATCCAATGCTGGTTGTTTAGCGGAACTTAAAAGACTACCACTTTGGTCCAAAATTTCCCTCTCTAGTATCAAATATTGGAATCACCTGAAAACTTCTGATTCTTTGGCCTTTAAACTTTACCAATCCACAAGTAACTGTAATTCTTGGACTAAGAAATTATTTTCTATTCTAGATAATCTTGGATTCTCAAACATTACAAAATATACAGGTTCCGTCCAACACCTTTTACCAAACATTAAACAAAGAATCATTGATCAGTTCACTCAGGAGCAAACGTCAAAAATCTTTGGTTCAGAAAAACTTGATTTCTTCAAGAAAGTATACTCAGGAAAAAGAAGTCCTTATGTTGATTTACTCAAAAAAAGATCTGAGAGATCATCTCTTAGTAGAATTAGACTAAGCGCACATAAACTTGCAATAGAAAGTGGTAGATATATTTCCACATCAAGAAATGAAAGATATTAATTGTAATGTTTGTAATACTGGTGTGATTGAGGATGAAATACATTTTCTTTTTCAATGTAATTCTTACTCTAAGCTAAGAAACACATTCTTTAGTAATATTTATAACATAACAAAGAAAAATAATAATTTTAGCAATGAGAAATATATGTTACAATTATATGTAAACAGTAATATAGAAAAAGTCTTGAAAGTTACTGTTAAATTTATCAGAGACTGTTTTGAACTTAGAAGTCAATTACTTGACAATTTTTGAAAAATATGTAAACATTTAATGATGTTCAGTGGGCCTTTGCCAATTATTGTAATTGTGTTTGTGCCAATAAAGTATTTGTATTTGTATTTGTATTATGTACAATATAGAAAATGCCTGATATTCAAAATACATTTTAAACAGATTTATCTTGAAGAGCTTAAAGGGACATGGACACACAGCTGAAAATTTTCAAATTTAATAATTTTTTATGTTTACAAATTCTTAACTAAGGCATTTTCAACGATTATGAAAAATTTGAATTTCAGTTGTCGAGATACGAGACAGATTTAGAATTCCAAACCTTTGTTATGTAAACAAGGCCCGTGTCATGTTTTTGTTTACATCGATTATACCAATATATGTTCGTTCAAAACAGTAAAGAATATAATTTTAAATACAAATAGACACTTTCTAGTGATTTGCTGAATCTCATTTTGTTACAAATATGATATTTTCTATATGTAAACATAAACAAGACACGAGCTTTCTTTACATCATGAAGAATTTTAAATCATATATATCTCCTTTGTAAATCAACAAATGATATTCGAAGTTTTGCTGATTGTTTGAATTGCTTTAATTAGGAATTGTAAACATTAAATTTTGTTTTAAAAGAATCAGTTGAAATTGTGTCCGTGTCCCTTTAAGATATAGACCAAATATGCTTGAAAGAATAACAGTTATTTATTAATTTTCCCCCCTTTATTAATTTTTCTCCCACCGCCTTTGTGTTAGAAAGCATAGATATGGCCAAGATTTGACAATTTGTGGCACATGGGCTATACTTGTTATAAAAACAAGCTGCATGGTAAGTAAAAGAAATACATGTAGTTATCAGTATATGGAAATGTGAAAATAAAGTATGTTATTATCGGCCGCAGCAGCGGCCGATCTATTTGTGGTTGTGTTAAAAAGTGCACTTGGGGAAATGAGATGTTATTATTTTATTAGTTCAGTAAAATAATTCTCAGATGATAACATATATAAAATCATGAGTAAAATATTTTAAAAAACTTGCTTTAAACTAAGTTTTAATCGTTATTATTATGTTTCAATTTCATTATCATTTCGCATGAGATAATTGATAATTGATGGTTAAATAAAACGAATTTACAATTGGTACTCCCCATCAAGGGAGTGTGTAAGATACGAAAGGAAATCGTCGTGATTTTCCGGATAATAATACGTGTACCTGGTAAAAGTGCATGCCATGGTGAATAACAAAATTGAAAATTTGCTCAACTAGTAAAAACTTGTATGAAAATGCTAGCCTACTTTGCAGAAACCATGTAGGCATTATCACGACAAAAATCCAGGGTATCAACACGTAATTCATCTTCAGAAACCTACATCGTCATTTTGATGCCAAGAATTTCTCACTGATTTCATCATTGACTTTTTTTTTACATCGATAAGTCCTTTGGTTGAGCAAATGCACTAAAATTTCTATTAATTTTTTAAAAATATTAATTTATCTAAATGCTTTGAAGACGGCCTGAAATAAAAATTATCACTATAAATTCAACTTTGAATATCCTGTGCTTTTCTTGCATGAATGCTTTGAATTGTGAAAGTACTTTTTTGACATGCTAAATATGTTAGCGGCCGATTTGATGTTTTGCATCAATTTTACTTGTTCGAAAAATAGAAAAGATCTTAAGAAAAGCAGGGTGACACTCATCCCGAACCCAACGTCATGTAGATTCATTTTCTTTCTTGAATATTGACAGTGATGTTTGGATTTGGCTCCAATCAGAAATGATTTTTTTTCTTATATTACATGTGTGTTAATAACAACTTTTATTGATTCTCCGTATCAACGAGACAACATACTCAAATTTATTAGTATGGCTACTTAGAACTAGGATGTAACTCACGATATGGAGTTAAAACTTTCATGGGTGTGAAAAGGGAAAAAATGTTCAAAAAGCAGAAAAGCATGACCACAAACGTAGTGCCCCATGTAGGACTACTTGTTCATTTATTATTTTTATGAAATTTAAGTGCGTGTTCATGTGTTCTTGATTTTCTTTTCTTAATCTTTAAGGTGTCATTTTTGTAGCACTTGTTTGCGTTTTTAAAACGCAGTACATTCTCAATTTCAAATTAATGATACTGTACATCTGTGCCTTTGTATTGTCTCTCTTTGTAAGAGTACACCGTATATATATATTTCATTTTGTGTGGGATTGAATGTACGTGTTTTAAAATTCTCATAGCATATGTATACATATTGATATATGATGCTCTTAAAGACTTTTTGGATGCTTCTGTCAATATGTTTGGAAGCCAAATTTATTATGACAAAGAACATTGGTTTGTAACATTTGATTTCTTCAATCCTACAAGATAACAGTACATTTTTTGTGTTTTTAAAAAAATACTTTTGATGATATTAATATGAGCATTAATTAATGGTATTATGTACTCTCATATTCATATTTCATTAGATGTTTTCTATCTTGTTAAAGGTCTAAATGGCTATTTGATGAGAAATATTTGGAGCCAGAATATTTTTAAAGGTGCCAATGGATCAATTGTTTTGAGCGGAACATACAGGATTCCCGTTGGAAAAATTAGCTCTCCAGGTGATTGTATTGGTTCAGTGTGTCGTTTTTTTTGTAGAAATCTTTTACTGGTCTCCAATATATTAAAAAGTCACAGTTATTGAACAGTTTTTTTTAATTTAAATCATTTTCCATCGTCGGATACCCACGGGTGATCTCGTCTTTTACTTATCACTGTAAAAGACGAGATCACCCCTGGGTATCCGACGATGATCATTTTCATGAAAGTATACCATAATTGAAATGTTGATTTACAATAAATTGCGAAAATCATTTTGTTTTCTTGAAAAGATATTTTCCAAGAAATATAAACTTAAAACAGTCGTTTTTTTTTTTTGTTTTTTTTTTAATTTTAGAAACAACACTGATACCGAGAGATTGTAGTGATATTAAAAGGAAATGGCCAAAAGCCCACAGCGGAGTGTATAAAATTTTTCCATCAGGCGGCAGAGGATATGACGTTTTATGTGACATGGAAACCGATACTGGAGGATGGACAGTAGGTTTCTTAATTGAATGCCGTCAAAATAGAATATGCCTGTACTATGGCTAGCGTGGATTGTAAATTAATCTTTGAATTAATGTATTGAACCAAATGAATAATATAAAATTGTTAACGTTGTAGGTATTTCATAAAAGATTTGATGGCTCTGTAAACTTCTACAGAAATTGGAAGGACTATAAACAAGGATTTGGGTCCGTAAGAGGAGAATTTTGGCTAGGTAATATATTCACGCTTCTGATATCACAGAATAAACTTATATTCTGTATTACATATTGCTAGAGTTGTAAGTATCAAACCCCGTGTATGATCCTTGTCATCAGCATGTTAAAAAGAAATTATATACAATTTATTATGGCGATAATGGCCTGACATTTTTTATGAAGGACGTTAGTCAACGTTCCAAAGATAATTGAAATAAGGTCATAGTAGTGACTCAATTTGCGAAATGTTAACTTAAAAGTAGATTATTGAGATCAAAGTATCATCAACTTATTTATCCGTAGCCAGTTTTAATTGAGAAATTGTACGTTAGTGGATCATTGTCTAAGAAAAACTTTTTTTATAAAGGCTTACAGGCTCTTCACGAGGTTACAGTTCACGGACAGCACGAGCTCAGGGTGGACCTTGCTGATTTTGAGGGAAACACTAGATATGCCAAGTACAGCAAATTCTCCATTTCCAATGAATCAAATGGCTACCAAATATTATTAGGTGGATATACTGGAACTGCTGGTAAATTGATTTATCTCCCTATAGCTCAATTATTTGTTTTCCAAACATAAGAACTTTTTATTCATGGGAACAAAGCAAAGAATCTAATGTAATAGAAAGTCTTAGTACAGGGTGTTTCATAATATTATATATGTAACATTTTTAAATTTAATTATTTTTCTTACCTATCACACTTTTATTTCAAACTATATACCATTTTAAACATGACAATCTACACTTTTGTTCCATGTGAAAAAGTCAAGGAAATCACGGTCTTTCAATGATTAATTGTGCTATAAACGCGGATGTCATAATTTGAGTATTTTTCGAAATGGACTTAACTTACACACTCAGTGCTGAATTATAAAACTTTTTTTTTAAATTCATTTCGCCACTATTCATTCAGAAGTTGATGAAATAAATTTTCCAAAAGAATAGAAGCTTACTAAGATGCTTATCAGAGGGCTAGTATTATATAAACAAGGTTAAAGGACAGGGACAGACAATATGTAATAAATGACTTCCAGATAGCCTAGAGACTTTAAATGAAGCAGAGATTTCTTTTGTGAAATGGAGACTCTTAGTGTTGCAAACTTCTTAGAAAAGAGTCTGATAAATATTTTCAGAAATTGATGCTGGCAATATCAGCATTTATTTTCAGCATATATGAACTTTGAAATGTAATTTGAAATTACCAGCGTACAAATTTTCAATAATGCAAGGAAAGAGTTTGACCTTTGCATTTGACATTTTCAATCCTTGGGCTCTTTTCTGTAGGGGTTCTTATGGAACAGGGTCTACAATCCTGAACCACAGATACTGAATGAGCTAAAAAAGAACATAGACCTTTACATGACGAGTGTCTAAGCAAAAATATGTGACAAAGTTATACTTGTAAAAATTTCAAGAAGCAACTTGCATTTGTTGTTGAAATAATGGAGATCCTTAAGAATTAACATGTAAGGTGAGCTTTTGATGTTGTGAAATTCAAAAAAATGACGCAACCTGGAAATTTCGCTTATATTCATTAATGTTTAAGATTATGTTCAGTGTTAATATTTTAGATGATACTTAAACATTATAAATCTTAATGATACATGCATCAATTTGATAAAAAGACTTATCTGCATCTTTCACTGGTGTTTGTTAAATTGAAGATTCAAAATGTAACATACCGATATATTATAAAACACCCTGTATATTCTTTTTTGGAAATATATATTTTTTTTAATTTGGTGAAATATGTGGAGATAACGAACAGTATTTGAGCTGAAAAGTCCACTGAACATTATAAAATAAGAGCAGAGCAAACACAGACCTCCCTAACATCAGAGGTGGGATCGGGGTCATGGTGAAGTGAGCATCCCTTGCCGACCGATCATACCCACTGTGTGCTTCTTGTCATGATCAAAGATAATATAAAAAATTAAACATTGATATTACGTTTATATTTATTAACGATCTGATATTTCCATCATGAAATCCTTTAGCTATTATTCTATTTTTTGAAGGAGAATCCATGGAATATGCAAATGGAATGAAATTTACTACAAAAGACAGAGATAATGATAAATATGGTAACAACTGTGCAATAGTCCACGGTGGAGCATGGTGGTTCAAAGACTGTTTCAGGGCACATTTAAACGGGAGGTACACCAATGACCCAAAATCATTGAAAGAGTGGAAGGGGCTTATCTGGAATACATGGAAAGGTTCAAAGTATTCGTTGAAGAGTGATGTAATGATGGTACGTCGTCATCATAACTGATATAAAAAGGACCAGGTTTTTTGATCTGTAAAAAGTCAATAAATAATTTCTGGAGTTCTGTTTGTTTATTATAATTGCGTTATTCCTTATCAAATAATTTTAGAATTTTTAGCATATTGTATGGTTTGAGGACACTATGTTTTGTAGTGAGACATGAAATTTATTTCACACACATTGGACAGGATTTTTTGACATTTAAAATTCTTCTAATTGAAAGAAAAGATGAAGCTTCAAATCAATTTTTCTGATTATTGTATTTTTGACCATCTCTTTAGCTGTATTTTTGTATCACATTGGGGACTTCAACGCTGAAAAGTTATGAGACGTAATAGCTACGTGATAGAAATATGGGGATCACGAACATATTGACCAAGCTCAAATCAGCAAAGACGGACTTCTAAAATTATCAGGGGTGGGATCAGGTGCTTTCGCGAAGTAAGTCTTCCCGGTCACACCCCCCCCCCCCCCGTGTGTGTTCCTTGTCATGATCGGGAATATGGAAAAATCAATAAATTATAACTCATTGTGTAAATAATGGCCTAACAATTTGTATGAAAAACATCAGTCAGCATAAGACTACATACACAAGTGAGCGAAGTTGTAGTCATAACGTTTATCATGAAATACCAATAACATCTTTTTTCTGTAAAACCATTGAAACATGAAACAGATATGTTGAATTCTTTCCTTATTTAAAATTTATTTTCATGTTCATATGCGTTTAAAATTTTTAAAAATGGATTTTTTAAATAAACCGATCATAACAGAGGGCATACGACGAATGTGTCCTATCGACAGTGGATGCGTGCTCCTTCATGGCACCTGAGCCTACTTCTAATGTTTTAGCCATGTTTGTTCTGCTCATGATTTGCTTTTTTTTTTTACTTTCGAGCTTGATTACTGTTTGGTGTTTTCCTGATGCATATTTTTTAAAATTGTTCTTGTAAAATAAAATAAAGTGAATTACCTTTTGAAAGTAAAAGTATTTGAAAATATTCTTAATTCTTAGATGTGTTTAATCAACAATTGTCTTTTAACAAGCGGGTCCAATAATCTTCAGTTTCTACATTTGGATTTTGCATTGTAAGCTTTTCGCATAATTGACATATTGCATCGGAGAAAATTTCTGCATTGCCAACGTCATAATACTTGTCCTTTTCCTTTAGATAATTAGTATATTTTTCTTCACTGGAACCTATATCAATCAGCATATTAGCAAGATCCGTAACAGTTGCAAATTGTAAGGCATTAATATACGTTCCATTGGGTAAATAGTCTGCAACATTGGATGGTCCATTAACTACAGGAATGATTTCAAGATCATATAAATACAAGTTATATAACTTTTCGGTTGTGTAATCGGGACAAATAGTGTTTTCAAACGCCAGATAAAATTTGTAATCACGTGATACATTTATGAGACATTCGCTGAAAAGGGTTGTTGGATTTCCACACATTCTAGTGCCACATTTGCCAAAAATATCTACGTGTACGTATTTTCCTATTTCCTGTGCAAGTGCTTTCCGTTTGGAGGGAACAGGACAATGTCCTGACATCCATACTGCATCAAGAGTTTTCTTTCGGAAAATTTCACTGTAGTTTCTCTTTATTTCCTTTTGTCGACGCTTAATACGTCCATAAGGTCGAAAGATATCGGAGTGACGTCTAAAAGACATCGTATAGTCAAATAATCCATTCCAATGGTTTTTTGGTCTTTTCATCAAAGTCGCTGGTTCCATACTATGGAATATCCAAAACTGATTCTTGAATTTTTGTGGTGGTGACTTGGGCAACGTTTCTATGTTAAATATCACAGCACTACTGTTTTGAAAATCTTTCATATTTTGAGTAACAAAACAATTATACATTTTTGGACACTTTCTTTTGTTGAAATAATTTATAAATGTTGTTAAATAAGATGGTGTGTTGTAGATGAGAATTAAAATCCTTTTATCAGAAATTGTATCCTTCTCTACAAAACTTCTGTTGGAGTTTAGTACAAAACTTTTGTTGGAGTTTGGTACAAAACTTTTGTTGAAGTTTGGTAGGAACATAGTTGACATTGTGTCAAATATCACGAACTTCATATCATGTTGAGTGAAAAATATTGACACAGCTACTAAGAACACCAGGACTATGAGATAATTCCAAAAAGCCTTTTCCCCTGAAAAGAAAGTAAATTACATTTTTATTATATGGTGCATGATTGCCTGGATGCACACGTACATGAACAACGAACATCAATCAAGCTCAAAAGTCCCCTAAAAACAAATCTAAACAGATTAAAAAATGAAAGAATCAGATGCAATGGAGAAGTATGTTCAATGAGAATTTGAGATTTGGATTTTGAATGTGATCTTCAACAGTAATATTTTGGATGAGCGATCAGATGCTGTTAAGAGGGTTATTTATTGATAGCAAATCCTGGAAGGAAATATGAAAATTTAATCATCCAAAAATGATTGTATTCCGCAAGAGTTTATTATACCACATTTACTACATAAAATTGAGGTATGTAAAGTATATTATAAGCAGTTCGATACGATTTTCGAGATATTGGTAGTAAATGTTCTTTAATGATTAATGAGAAAAATTAGTACTTAGCTTTGATTTAAACTTGCTTCAAATAATAACGACAGAATGACGATTTTTATTTTTTTTAACTTAAATGTTCATTATGATGTCCGTCATCTGCTGAAACCATCGGTTGAATTATGTAACATATTTTCAGCATGTAAAAAGTTTTTTGGCCGAGATTTTGCTTTGTCATCATGTTATTTTGTAATATTTCAATATCTACTTGTTTTCTTTGTGATAACTTTTTTTAAGGTTAGGTGAAATGATATCTTGATAATTCAACCAGAATGTAAATTTCGCCATGCAAAAAAATCAGTGCTAAGAAGGCTGAATGTGCATATAAATCTCGTGCGGCTGTCTTCGTGTCTGACGTCATCAGTGGGTAGAGATTATTGAAAATGTCATGGGAAGCCACGTGTAATTTAAATCTACTAGAGGACATTTTTAAAAACCTATATTTTTCAATTTTATTTCACCATTAAATGTAAATATAAGAAATCACTGCCTAGTTTGTTGGATATGCCAAGGACATCAAGACAGTTTGAAACGTGGGATAATTTATGCATAACAGGCTTCGCCAACAAGCAAGATATCGATTCCTCTAGCTGTTGATTACATTATTTTTGTTTATTATAACAGCTAAATTACAATGATGCCTCAACTTTCAGTTGTACGTTTTCACTGAAGAGTGTGAACATTTCTACATGTACTTTGATTGTATATTGATTAACGTCCCTCTCGAGAATTTTTCACTCATATGGAGACACCACCACTTGCCGTTGGAGAGCTGCAAATTTTGACCTACACTCAGGGCCAGGGAGGGATCTTTTTCTTGCCAGCACCTATTGCGACACGGGACCTCAGTTTATAGGACCGGTCTCCTCGTCCCACGGTTGGGATTCAAACCCGCGACGTAAGGATCAACTCCTTACTTCGCGACTCTTGAGCAGACGCTCTAACCACTGCGCCACGAGGGCTACTTCTTACTTTGAAGAAAAACAACGAAACAACGTAGCATTGTAGGTAAAGCAATGTGCATCGATTAAATCAAGTGATATTTACTATGCCTTTTCTGTGCTGACATTTCCTAGCTCTTTGATGGAGAATATTACATCATTTACAGAATATACATGTACTACTAGTCAGTATTTGACAGTATGATATGACGATAGAGAGGATGAAGCATCTCAACGTCTACCAAAAGATTTTTTGATGACATTTTTCTTGTCGTAATTTAACAGAATAGTAAAAAAGCTTGGGTTTTGTAATCCTGGTATTTTTTTTTTATTTCATCCTCAGTCTTTGAGAAAAGTAAAGCTACAAGGAACAAATACTAAATATATTTAAGGTTAACGTGATAACTTAACCTTTTTATCGCCCTCATTTATGTAACATTAAATCCTGCATATGGAGTTTATGTCTCCCAGTTACTGTTATTCGATATGCAAGAGCTTGCTTTACATTTGAAAAAGTTCTGAAATGAGGCAATTTACTAACAAATAACTTGATGAAACAAGGATTTCAACAGTCTCGTTTAAAAACACAATTTTGCAAAAAGCAAGAGTCACTTAGGGCCCTTTTTAGCCCTGTGAATTTCTGAAAAAATCGAAGCTGCTCAGTGTTGGTTGAAAATGCAGTATTTATCACTTGGACCCTTACTGGCATGACATGACGTATTTTTCTCTCTAGTCATTGCATTATGACATAATACAATACGTCATTTTCCCCTTATCCTGTAAAGAAAGTGGGCGCTTTAGATGGCGATTCGGCAGGAATTTTGGCTCATAAAAGAATTTAAAAAATATCATTGATTTATATATTTTTTTTTCAAAACGTAGCTAATGATTGTGTTTTAGGTGAATGTAAAATGGGCAAATATTCAGTTAAATATGTTTGATTTTATTTGAATATGCACCTGGATATAGCCGTAGGAGTCAAATGATGCAAAAAACGACTCTTTTATAGCCGATTTTCATTAATTTTGTTGTTTCTGGGTCTTCTCTCCATGAATTTTAAATGCGTTATCAGTGTATTTTTAATCGTAAAATTTATTACAGTTGTTTAAAAAATGGAGAGACGACCCAGAAGTACCAAAATCTCAACTTTTTTCATTTATTTTCTGGTAGAAAATTGACAAAGTCCAACTGTATAGTGCTTTGGCTTTAAATAATGATTTAAATACTGGGTACGTATGGTGTCCCGCGGTAGCTAAATACGTTTGTCGCTGGATTCGGCCCTCTAAGAGGCAGCATTTTAGGTTCGAATACAGTGATTTTTTTAATTTTATTTTTTTTCTTTTTGCATGAAATTTTTGAATTGGTAGTAAAAAAAAAATACTCCTTGAATAAAGTTGCAAATTATGTTTTATAAATTATTTTACATTACTTGTTTTATTTTTCAATGCGTTCCGAATTGTCATTTATAGTGCTAACGTTCCCAATTAGAAATAAACATACATGAACTTGTAACTACGAGGGTTGTCCCGTAAAATCGTGGACAAGTTGTCTAGTGTGAAAAATAAACATCACTGCGTTCTGAAATTTTCACTATCATTTAGTACATATTTTAGTAATATACACAGCAAATTTCAGATAAATATATGCATAAATAAACATATTATGAGATTTTATGCCATGTATTGTATCACCTTACGGCGCATGGATTATAACGTCAAAGTGTCTAAAACAGCGTCACGTTTTCTCTTTGCTGAAAATGAAGTTGGATGAGTCCGACTTAACTTTAGGAATTTCATTGATACACATTCTTTAGTCTCCATAAACAGCTGAAGAACCAACTGGCACCCTCATGCGATCTTCTGAAGATTTATTAGTAAGTTACGGACAATATTCTCACCATCATTCAACTAATAGAAAATATCATATCGGCTGTCTACTGTGACAGCGTCTTTTTGCTATTACATGTACATTAGGAGTTTGTCCGTATGTTTTGTACTCCCCAGGGGCTCGATCAAAAAAAACTTCGCTAAGAAAACTCCTATTTCATTTATATACTTAAGATATGGTGATATTTTTATAATCTTTTTTCTTCTATGGTCATTTCAAGTCTCTAAAGGTGTCATTACAACATCGAAATAAAACTGAACTGTTCTCCGGTGCGCCGTAACGTCATAAAACGTCGCCATTTTTCGTGTGTTCTGTTTACACTTTCCCATTTCGAATGCTCGAGAAACTGCCAAAAATTAACCAAATGCCTTAAAATTTTTACAAAGACTACAAAATTGATTGTGGAATTGAATTAGGATAATTTTAATCCAAATTTTATGTATTTAGAACTTTAATTTTGAATTCAAACTTGTGTATTCTTAAATAAAACCTTGGTTTTTTGACCGTGCGCCGTAGGACAATACCCCGTGCACATTCAAGCATAATAAAATCTTTATTTTTGCCTATATTTTATCAAAAAAATTATCATGCACTTAAATATGATAAATAAACATTTACTGAAATTTTCAGCTTTGTGCGCCCATTACTTTTCGAGAAAAACGCTTTGTCCACGATTTTACGGGACAACCCTCGTACAAAGTTACATCTGATGAAAAACTATTGAATAATAAAAAAAAAATAGCAATTTCGATCGTTCTGTTACATTCAATATTTTCAGTGCATTTGAACGTTGAGCACAAAAGATCATTTAGTGTTAGAGTTCTATTACACTCTATCAAATGTATCCAGCATAGATAATTTATCTTTCATGACATCTTTTAATTGAAATAAATCATTTACAAGTAAACAAACATGCGACAGAAATCCATTTCCATGAAGTTTCTAGGTTCATTGTATAAGATATGTATTAAAACTACATGGTACTTGGACATTTAAATCTGAATTGTTTCGTGTCAGTGATTCCTGCCGACTGCCTATCTAGTGCGCCCACTTTCTTTTTTTCATCTTTTAAAATTGCCAAATTTGATGTATTTTCAATATTTCATTTAGAGCAAACCTCTGATCCAAAATATACAATTGCATAATGAAAGATCTGTTACTGAAGATCACAAAACATGTTTTAGGTTTTGGATCGTGGGGTGTTCTCATCTTTTATTCTTTGCTAAATGCAGTCAAGTACGCATGTTTTCTGCAAAATTCAAGAACATTGCATTTTCTTAAAGCTTGTTTTCAAATACCTGGATTCTCAAAAAGAATTTTGTTACAGCAAATGAAAGCACCAGGTCACTGATTTATATTTATATATGAAATGGGATAAAAGGTGATAGTCAATTAATTGATATAAGAACAGGGCCATTTTATACATAAAGAGAACCTAGCTCTTCTAATGTTAAAAAAATCTTGTCGGTAAATAGAATCGTTATTAAGTCGTGTGTTGGCTGATTTTTTTTCTTCATACAGATCGTATTAAGTTGTTCTGTTTATCCGAACATGATAAGGAACTGACGGTAGGTGAGACCGATCGACGAATTACTGCTTAGGCCAGCATTTTTTTATTTTTAGGTTTACGAACATCAGAATGAAAAAGTCCCGTAGGAGGAGGAAATAAAAAAAAAATAAAATTATATTTTGGATTTATTATCGACTTTTCTACATTAATATTTGCTTCTTTTTTATGCTCTCCTAACAGGCTTCTTGCCACGGGACACATAAGGGTTACAAAGGGGAAAATAGAACCTTTAATTGTTTATCTCATCATCTACCAGATGGGGCCAGTGATATAAATCTTGTGATGGACAAAATACAGATTTTTTTAAAAATCATTTTTTTTTTTAAACTCTTTCAATATATCTTTATTTTTGTTTTTAATATGTGTTAGGTGAATGTGTAGAAATTGTTCTATAATATTAATATACTTGAGACCTAAAATAATAATTCCTTTCATAAAACAGACAGGGAGTATTGGGGGGTAGGGTGGATTTTTTTCTGTAAAATAATTTTTCTGGCTGCCATAAACAATACTACATGCCTGAACATATTTTTAAATAGTTGAAATATTTTATTTCTTTAGGCTGTTGTTTATTTCTTCCTAAAAATGGACTTAACTTCTCCCATAGTTTTATTCATTACATCTGATGCATAAGCGACCCTTTTCTGAAGAATGATGTTAAGACTGTAAGCTTTAACAGAAACCTAAACAATGTCTCTGACAATAGCTACCATGGGCAGTTTTAAGCGTGTGGGAGGAAAATTTATCACAGACAGATACTTTTGAATACTACGGATAAATAATTATCTCACCAACATGTCATTGTGCAACAAAGTCGTCAGCATTTTATTTGTTCTCTGAACGGTTGAAACGTTTTGAATGGCACTCCTATCGATAAATATTTACATTAAACCAAACTTGAGTGCTGCTATGGACTTGACAAATCTTCCTTCATTACCCGCCATGTTCATTTAAAACCGGAAGTACGAGTTTGTAAATTTGAAATCTCGATCCCGACTCAAATTTGACATCGGAAAGAAAAAATTCTGTTTTTCTCAATTTTATTTTTTTTCTGAAAATGCAAAAACTTGAGCGGCGGGTTTGTAAACCTAAAAATAAAAAAATGCTGGCCTTACTTGGCACTTGTTTCCACCCCCGCTTACTCAGAGGTCCGCGTTTGCTCTACTCCCGATTTGCATTGCTTTTGAGCATTATAAATGTTCGTTGTTTTATTTTTATTTTAAAAGTATATCTCTTTTGTAGTAATTGAAAGACAGAATTGTTTAATAAAAGCGATTTTTGAAAGTGACGTTTTCACCGTAATAATAGCAAAATCAATATTTTCACTTTGAAGTAGAAAATAAATCTTGCATAATTATACAATCTACAGATACTATCTATATTGTTCCGACATTTGTGTAAAGCTTCAATTATGGTACTCGGTTGAACTGATAAAATACTACTAATCATCATATCACAAACTTAATATATTCATTGAAAGTTAATACAATGTAGCATTATCAAGGGCCGCAAATTGGGAAGAAAATTCGAGAACATATAAGAACAGAAGCCCAGTTTGTAATAAAGGATTTTAAAAATTGGTATAACAAATGAAATCTGTTTTAACAAATTACTGTAATTCATTTTATTATATAATTGATATAATTTGAAAAAAAAAATATCCCCTCTCTCTGATTGGCTGAGATCCAACACCCCCCCCCCTTACATTTTTTTTCTTAATGTATTTTTATTTTACTTTTAATTTAGAATAAAAATATCATTTAAAAGGTTGGTTCCCCAATAAGCATTTAATTTAAGCAATGAATCGTATCATAAAACAACAATATAATAAATAGAGATTTAATTGAATTCCAAAATATAAGCAATAAATACATGTATGAAAAAGAGTTTGAAGAGATTTATCAATTGCAAATTAAGGATTTTTTAAACCTATAAAATCTACCAAATAGTAAAACTGTATTTACATACCAGAAGTTGACAGCTTCATGATGTTGAGAACTACATTATATTTTAAGGCTGATGTTTCGAAGGAAAACAAATGATCGTGTTCAGCTAAACGTAATGCCTGTATACAAAGTTAACATACTGTTCACACAATGCAGCAGTTAACATCTTCATTTGTCACTTGTTGTTCTGAGCTCCCTTGATAAGATTACTTCATTTCAGTCTCAGATAATTGTTCTGAGTTTGCATCCTTGGCATATTCCCTTTACCCTAGATGTTAACCATACCATTACAGCATGTGACTTTAAAGATGTCAAACCTGAGTAGCAACTAAGTCCTCTTGGCGTATGGAGTATAGAATATAATCAAGGTAACACCCTCATTACAGGTGACACCCGCACAAGTACTATGGAGTAAAGAGCACAGGTGACTCTACAGGTTAAGGACAGCACTACTGCATCACAACATTACATAAGAAATTGGTCAGCATATACCCTACGGCCATGGAGTACTGAATACACGTAATCCATGTATTTATTATTGTCTGTGTATACTGTATTTAAGTTTTCAAGATATTTTTTTTATCTTTTGTCCATATGATCCACAGCAGAAACTCTTAATATAGATCTTAATTGTACTACAATGTACAAAACTTAAATAAAATACTATATAACTAGGGTCTGGTAATAGAAATCTAAATGATTTTCTTCTTCTAAAACTCCAAGAAGGATGTAGTCCAAGGGCAAACACATAGGACATATAAACATTCATCAGATTACATAAGACCTAAGCGTATCTGTGTCCAGGAAGTTCTACCGGCAATAAACATACTTATCCATGTCTTTGGGGTTTTAAGCTTTATGTTCCATCTGAGTAAAATATATGTTGATAACGAACAGTATTCAAGATCAAAAGTCCATAAAACAATACAAAAAAAGGAGCAGAGCAAACACGGACCTCCAAAAACATCGGAGACGGGATCAGGACTTATGGAAATGTCATCGAGTACCCGGTTAACCGGCTACTCGATAGAACGTCCGAGTATTGAGCACTGAAACTGGTACTCGGTAACTCGGATGTATATTTTTTTTATTCCAAAGTACATAAAATTATTTTAAAAAACTGTATTAAAAAATAACTTAAATGTGCATACGATAATTAGAGAGCCGTCGCCTACACTTGTAAGATACCCGTTATCGCCTTTGGCTGTATATATACAGTAATTGGTGATAAATCACCTATTCTCACCTATTGCGGTCCTTAATTTTTGGATGGCTTCAATGCGCTGCATTTCATTTCCGGAAATATGCATAGCATTTCCGACATTTTTTTTATTTCACTTCCGACATTTTTCGTTTTAATTTTGTTTTAATTTCAGGAATTTACCTGTGCGACAATTTAATATTGAAATTAAATGAAATTTTAAAAAGTATTATATTGATAAAAATAAATAAAAATCAATCTACACATATATGTAGAACTAAGTCTACGTAAAAGAGTTCATTGAGCATAAAACTTCTTCACCACATTTAATGTGCACTAAATTTAATGTCAGTGACAGGACCAAACTTATGTCCAAGTGATTGATAGATTTACCAAACTCAAAAATTGTATTTCAATGATTTATGATTTATTCCTTTAAATTTTTTATAGGTAAAGTATTCAAATCTGTTGCTAAAGGTACTATCTGAAAAAAGTCGGAAATGAAAACAAAAAAATGTCGGAAATGAAAACAAAAAAATGTCGGAAATGAAAAGTTGATAATTACCAAAAATTCCGGAAATGAAATGCAGCCCTTCAATGATTTGTTCTCACTGAGGATCGTTTAAGTATGTTCTGTTATCTTTAAATCAATTTTTAAATTATTTAGTTAACGGTACCGAAATCCGACATACATAGAGAACTTACATACATATCGACTTAAAAAAAGTAAAGAAATATTTTGGTAATCATAGCTTGGCTGTTCTTGGGAAGAAGATTTTTCCTATATACTTCTATGTTGAAATTTGATCGGCTATTGTGGCCCCATCCTATCCCCAGGGGTCATTATTTGAACAAACCTGAATCTACATCACCTGAGTATGCTTTCATATAAATATGACCAATCATGACTTTGCTGTTTTTGAGAAGATTTTAAAGATTTTTCCTATATATCCTTATGTAAGACTTTGACCGTCCTTTGTGGCCCTGCCCTATCTCGGGGTCATGATTTGAACAAACTTGAATCTACACTACCTGAGGATGCTTCCACATGACTTTCATCTCTCCTGGCCCAGTGGTTCTTGAGAAGAAGATTTTTTTAAGAAGCAATTAATTTTTCACTCTGATTCATAATTACCTCCCCTTGTAGGAAGACAAACTTGAATCCCCTTCACGTAAGGATACTTTGTGACAAGTTTTTTGAAACTGGCCCAGCGGTTCTTGAGAAGAAGATGAAAATGTGAAAAGTTTACGACAACGACATTGACGACAACTACGACAGACAACGAACAAACTTTGATCAGAAAAGCTCACTTGAGCCTTCGGCTCAGTTTGAGCTAATGACCACTGGTGGAGAAAAAGATTTTCAAAGAAATAATGCATTTTCACTATATAATCAATAGAGCCCCACCCTAACACCAGAACCCCTAACACAGGGGCAATGAAATTCACAATTGTGGAAAAGGCAGCCTTGCTCATCATAACTATTACTTAGTTTATTTAATACTCATAAGCAGGGAAGATTTTTTAAAGAATTAATGTATTTTCACTATATTATCAAAAGACCTCCACCCTTAACCCAAAACCCTGACCCTCGGGCCATGGAATTCACAATCCTGGGTGAGGCACTTTTGTTCATCATAACTATGTACAGATTTCATTGGTTTAATACCCAAGAGCAGAGGAGATTTTCAAAGAAGTAATGCATTTTCACTACATAAACAATAGACCCCCACCCTAACACCATAAACCTGACCCAGGAGCCACGTAATTCACAATTTTGGAAGAGGCAGCCTTGTTTTACATAACTAGTTACTTGGTTAGTTTATTTAATACCCATGAGCAGAGAAGATTTTCAAAGAATTAATGTATTTTCAATATATGATATATACATAGCTCCGCCCTAGCACCATAACACCTTACTCTGGGGTCACGAATTTCACAATTTTGGTAGAGGACTCAATGCTTATTACAATCATGCCAACAGTTTGATTGCTTGATGTCAAGGAGTAATAAAGAAGATTTTTAAATGTTGCATTAGTTTTAGTGGTTTTGTGCCCACCCCTAAGGCCCAAGGGGACATGGACCGTAAAATTCACAATTTTTGTTCCCATTCATCCATAAATGCTATATGCCAACACTTTAATCAATAATTCGGCAGTCGTGCATGTAAATACTGATTCTAAATTAGTAATTTTTATCATATAAAAATAATAAAGCATCTTAGAAACTATTGTTATTATATGCTGGACTATGGGAATGAAGTGTCAATTGACTACGGCAGACAGAATCGGTTAACAAATCGTTTCATCAGGAAGAAAATAGCTGACAAGTGAACAAGAGGCCCACGGGCCACATCGCTCACCTGAGCACTGTGGCTAGCATAAAAGCAGAAATTAGTTTATTATTGAAAAGTTTAAACCCAAAAGTAGTCCCAATCATTCCTTAAAGGAGAGAGGGTACGATTTGCACAAACTTGAATCTACACTATCTGAGGATGCTTCCATATAAATATGACCAATCATGGCTTTGTTATTCTTGAGAAGAAGATTTTGAAAGAATTTTCCCATATATTTCTATGTAAAACTTTGGTCGGCCATTGTGGCCCCGCCCTACCCCCGGGGGTCATGATTTGAACAAACTTGAATCTACACTACCTGAGGATGCTTCCATATAAATATGATTAATCATGGCTATGTTATTCTTGAGAAGAAGATTTTTAAAGAATTTTTCCATATTTTTCAATGTAAAACTTTGGTTGGCCATTGTGGCACTGCCCAATACCCGGGGGTCATGATTGGACCAAACTTGAATCTACACTACCTGAGGCTGCTTCCATTTAAATATGACCAATCATGGTTTTGTTATTCTGGAGAAGAAGATTTTTAAAGAATTTCCTATATATTTCAGTGTAAAACTTTGGTTGGCCACTGTGGCCCCGCCCAACCCCCGGGGGTCAAGATTTGAACAAACGTGAATCTACACTACCTGAGGATGCTTCCATATAAATATGATCAATCATGGCCTTGTTATTCTTGAGAAGAAGGTTTTTAAAGATTTGTTCTATATATTTCTATGTAAAACTTGGATTTCCTATCGTGGCCCCGCCCTACCCCAGGGGGTCATGATTGGATCAAACTTGAATCTACACTACCTGAGGATGCTTCATATAAATATGACCAATCATGGCTTTGATATTCTTGAGAAGATTTTTAAAGAATTTTCCTATATATTTCTATGTAAAACTTTGGTCGGCCATTGTGGCCCCGCCCTACCTCCGGGGGTCATGATTTGAAAAAAATTGAATCTACACTACCTGAGGATGCTTCCATATAAATATAACCAATCATGGCTTTGTTATTCTTGAGAAGAAGATTTTTAAGAATTTTCCCATATATTTCTATGTAAAACTATGGTCGGCCATTGTGGCCCCGCCCTACCCCCCGGGGTCATGACTTGAACAAAATTGAATCTACACTATCTGAGGATGCTTTCATATAAATATGACCAATCATGGCTTTGTTATTCTTGAGCAGACGTTTTTTAAAGAATTTTCCTATGTTTTTATATGTAAAACTATGGTCGGCCATTGTGGCCCCGCCCTACCCCCGGGGGTCATGATTTGAACAAACTTGAATCTACACTATCTGAGGATGCTTCCATATATATATGACCAATCATGGCTTTGTTATTCCTGAGAAGAAGATTTGAAAAGAATTTTCCCATATATTTCTATGTAAAACTTTGGTTGGCCATTGTGGCCCTGCCCAATACCCAGGGGTCATGATTTGAACAAATTTGAATCTACACTACCTGAGGATGCTTCCATGTAAATATGACCAATTATGGCTTTGTTATTCTTGAGAAGAAGATTTTTAAAGAATTTTCTTATATATTTCTATGCAAAACTTTGGTCGGCCATTGTGGCCCCGCCCTACCCACGGGGGTCATGATTTGAACAAAATTGAATCTATACTACCTGAGGATGCTTTCATATAAATATGACCAATCATGGCTTTGATATTCTTGAGAAGAAGATTTTTAAAGATTTTTCCTATGTATTTATATGTAAAACTATGGTCGGCCATTGTGGCCCCGCCCTACCCCCGGGGGTCATGATTTGAACAAACTTGAATCTACACTACCTGAGGATGATTACACATGAGTTTCATCTTTCCTGGCCCAGTGATTCTTGAGAAGAAGATTTTTTAAAAATGCCATTATTTTTTCACTAATTCATAATTATCTCCCCTTGGAAGAGGGCGTGGCCCTTCATGTGAACAAACTTGAATTCCCTTCACCCAAGGATACTTTGTGCCAAGTTTGGTTGAAATTGGCCCAGTGGTTCTTGAGAAGAAGATGAAAATGTGAAAAGTTTACAGACAGACGGACAGACAGACAGGATGCCGGACAAAATGTGATCAGAAAAACTCACTTGAGCTTTCAGCTCAGGTGAGCTAAAAATTATATAGCTGACACTTGTGGATTTCTTTCGATGCTAAAATTTTTTTTTTTTATATTACATGTGGAAGGGGGGTGAAATAAATATCAGTCGGTATAACAACAGTATAAAACTCCAATGCTTAGTCATTAAATAAATATCAGTCAATATAACAATAGTATAAAACTCCAATGCTTAGTCATCTTTGAAAAAGACATTTCCAATTAGACCATCTTTTTTCAAATTGTTCAACATCATATAGTTTTTTTTCTATAACAAAATAATTACTCAAGTACAATAATAAATCATTAAATAAAATGGTACACTTTTTTCTTGATGTTTGAAAGATATATTTTTTTACTAATACAATAATAACATTCAAACCCACATCAATGTCTGCAGTACAGAGGATTACATTTTGTATATTAAATTGCAATGTTCTACCAATGATGCTAAAAATTGACCAGCGGGAAAGATTCGACTCTCAAACAGCTAGAGTAAAAGGTGTTGAGGGACATTCTAACTTATTGAACACGCTGCCCCTCCAGCTGAAAATACTCTTTTAAAAGTCATGCAACCTTTAAATCAGGTGGGATTTTGACATGTGAAGAATGCAATTCAGTACTGTATACAGGTTTATTTTCGCCCTTTTGAACTTGTGAACAATTTTGCCCCGTAATTTGAATTGGCCCGTTTTAAATTCGCCCAACCAAGGAAAGGGCGAAAGGGGCGAAAATAAAACAGGAGCGAAAATTTCCCTGTATACAGTATCTTTAAAGAATGGTGTTTAAAATTAAAAAGAAAACATTTTTCCTTCTCCTTTAATTCATTTCATTCACAACAGGAAAACAACAGGAACTACGGTAATTCACTAAAATATCATTATATTCTGTAGATAAATATAATATGGAGTTCAAAATTTATGCAGCACTAAAAAGGAAATGGCAAGTTGTTGTACCATAGTTAAGGAAAGTTTCAAAAACAAAAGATGAATTTTGAATTCATAAAGTATTTGAAATGGTATGTTATGGACAGAATGAAAATTAAATATACTCATACGTTAGTTAATAGTCAATAATGTATTATCTGCATGGTTATGATTGTCTACCTCTTAAAGAAAAAAATGTTATTCTTCGACCAAGTTCATTATTTTATTTTAAAATAAAAACATAGAGATTTTGGAATTTGAAAATGTAATCTTCAAATAAAAATCAGTAAACGCCAAACGCGCAGGACCATAAATTCATTGCATATTAAAAAGTGCCAACCAATGCTAGAATTGATCATGAACAGGACTCTATGGACTCGCTTTACATGTAGATGCATGATAAATTAAACAAATTCTATTTTGTATATTTATTTCTTCTAAAGCTTTCTTTTCAGTATTCAGACACATAGTATTGACTCAATTTATGAGAAAAAAAGAATGAAAAAAGCAAACAAACATTGGTAACTTTAAAAAAGTGCAACAAATTGTTAACGATAAAAGGTTTTATTTTCAGTTGATAACTTTTTAGAAATGGTAAACAGTTTAATGAAGTACAATAATGAGTTGATAAATAGGTTAACAAACTACAAATAATATTTCTTTAAAAAATTATAACAAGAAATTATTCATATATTAAATGCATATATACTTTTTACACGAAACATATGGACATGATATACAACAAAACCTTCATTCAATAAAATTAAAGAGCAAATAATTGTTATAATTGTTACCTCACGCAGTACTAAATACGTTTACATAGACATAAACCAATCTGAATTAATATACTGATAAATCTCTGATCATACATAACCCTACCCTCACACACACACAAATTACTTCAATAACTTCATTTCTTCTGTATATAAATGTACATCGCTTAAAGGATACAGAATTTGTTGTACTTAACAAATTCTGTATTCTTTAAAAGCGATGTTTGAAAAAGAAATGACAAGAATCAGTGTATTTGAAACAAATGACAGAAAGAGGAAACAATCACATATACACGCCCTTACTACTACCTTTAACATCTAAAAAATTTGTAACTCTCAATACTTGAACATTGTTTTCCATATCAAATAATATCTTACTAAACTAACCTGAGCTATCTTTTGCTAAACACATGTTGGTTACTTTTCTATTTTCTTTACACGTTTTATTCAATTAGAAAACATTCAAAATAAAGCTGAGACTCTTTCTGAATATTTAACATTCAAACCGTATAACTGCACAATGTATACATTCAAGAATACAATCTGACAATGGTGAGCTTTGGTGTGTCTTTTAACATCTTTTTAATATCATTTTGATAACACAATTTTGTCTTTGGGAAAAAGTGAAATTTTTCTGTTAACCCCATTCTTTTCCTGTCGCAACAGCCGAGAAAATTGTACACTTATGACGTTACATTTTTTTTTTAATCTGAGATCTCAAATGTAAAATAGATTTATCTTTTAGTAAATTCAAAACCCGAATTTGTATATTGTTTTCTGTGTGTAAGTTTCTTCTGGTCGTAGGACGGTATCAGGAAAATTTGGCTGAAAAAAAGTAATGTTCAACACCATTATCAGATCAAAAACGTCATAAATATCTGTTTCAGATTTTTTTTAATATCATAAATACTAAATGGAATTTTATTATTTATCTAAATACTGTATCAAGAAATAAAGTAATTTTATGAATGAATATGATATTTGCTGTCAACTGGAGAAAATTTGAAAATTATAATTATTCTTTCCATATAATTTTCCTTAATATGAAAACAAAATATCCCTTTATCTTAATCCATGGCAGAGAAATGGGTTTCTTTATACAAGCAGAAAACATCATACCTTTGAAGAATGAATAACATACCATATTTACACCGCTTGGTAACTGCATTGGAATGAGACAGACTCCTCCATCCTCAAATGGCCCGTAAACTGCTCCGTCTTTTCCGTAGAGGTTTGGTTTCATGTGGGAGGAGAAATAAACATCCACTCCAGGTTCCGTTGTGTAAACGTCAACAAAGCGACCATTTGAAGGGTTCTCAAGCCTTAAATAAGACCAAATTTAGTAAAATCAACATTTTCTTATTTTTTACTTTTATGTTATTGAATGAGACATACATGTACTTTTTAAAAAAAATTCTTTTGAAAGTCTTACTTTGCCACGTGTTTCATCTCCCCTCGGTTACCAAACACATAGCAGGAAACGATGATGTCATTTATTACGTTTCTCACTAGTGTGGGTGACGTTAAATCAAAAACTGTTCCATTGACATTGGCTATCTCTCCGTCACCTGTTATAAAATTAGAAATTCCTAGAACCAACAGGTCTAAATATCATAAAAGACAACTCACAGACATTACATTAACCAACACTTGCCTTTAGGAAGAAAGGCCTCGTCGATTGGAACGTATCTGTTGGTGTAAACTGTCAAAATATGGTCGCCATTTTTACCAGCTTTCTGAATAGTAAATGTATTTTTGGTTAACATATATAAGTATGTGAAAACAATTTGAATTCGTAATATTCTGATACAGAACTGAATTCATTTTGTAATGTTGCTATTTTTGTTTTGCATATAAAAACAATACGGCAAAAATTATATAACAAAATTACATGTCCTTCCAGATTGAAGTACACGTGATTAGATAAATTAACAGGAGTTGCTTTTGTTGTCTTTGCTTTGTAGCCCAGGATAAGCTCGTTGTCCTGTGTCAGCTGGAACGTGAACACTGATGTTAGCTCTCCCGGAAATCCCTCTTCTCCATCCGGGCTCACGTAGGTCATCACAACCATGTCTCCCTCAATTTTGGCATCAAACAGTTTCTGTTATTGATTTAATTTGATATAGAATTAGCCTGTTATGATAGAAATCTTATGATTCAAAAATCCCAGTTTTATTTATGAACGTTTAATCATTATATGGCTTTTTCCACATAAATAATTATATTAAATTTACTTGAATTTCTTTGTTTCCAGGTCAATTTTATATGAAAAAATGTAAGAGTAATAAAAAACGAATGCAAAGAACAGCGGGTCGTAAAAACAGTTGTTTAACAACACAACAAATCATGGTGACTTCATAGACTTCATAGATATATGCAGAGTTGCGTCATCAGCAAACATATCGATATTTGCATGACTTACATGTAAGGGAAGGTCATTAATATACAACAAAAAAAAAAGGGGGGCCTTTTCACAGATAGTTACTGTTCCTACTAGAATAACAAGTACCTCAAGTACTTTAATTGATCATTTTTATACAACCAAACCAGAAAACATATGTGAAACAAATGTGCCCCCTATCGCTATTTCTGACCACTATCCTGTATGTTTGACACGGAAAACTAACTGCATACAGCGTAGAGGAAAACATACTGAAATCCAATACCGAGATTTTAAACAATTCAATGAAAATGAGTTTCTAAGAGATTTAGAAAATGCAAATTTTAACACTCTTCTTGAACTAAAAGACCCAAACGAGATAATGAATAAATTTTATGAATTATATAATGATATTCTAAACAAGCATGCCAAAGTAAAAACTAAAAGAGTCAAGACTGAAACTCGACCTAAATGGCTTACACAGGAAATAAATGATGCTAGACATTTACGCGATACATATCATTTACAAAGGAATTCAGAAAATTACAAAATTTGGAGAAATAAAGTGACACAATTAATAGATCAAGCGAAATCAAAGTATTACAAATCAGCAATTGAAGAAAGCTCAAGTCCTAAAGAAATGTGGAGTTATTTAAACCATTTGGCATCTAATTCCAAAAATTTTACACCTACCCGTATTACACAAAATGGTTTAGATTTTGAAGATTTACAGGATATTGTTGATATTTTTAACAAACACTTTACGGAAATATCCTGTAAATTATTAGCAGATATGTCGGTACAAAGTTTTGATCCAGAATTATTAAATCGATATACAGAAACGAAACTAGGGAAAGAAAATGTTTTCAGTATTAATGAAATAAGTGAATTTGAAGTATTGAATATGTTGAATACACTTGATGTAAACAAGTCAGCCGGTATGGACTTTATCGGACCTCGTCTTCTAAAACTTTCGGCAAATGTTATATGCAAATCTATTACACATCTTATAAATGCTAGCATCACTAATGGAGTATTTCCGTCCCGTTTAAAACAAGCAAAAGTCACTCCTATTTTCAAAAATGGCGACCACGCAGATCCAGGGAACTACAGTCCGATATCCATTCTTCCAACATTATCAAAATTAGTTGAAAAACACATAGCCAATCAAATACGTAACTTTGCCTCTAACTTTGATCTTTTATTTCAATCACAATCTGGATTTCGAGAATTTCATTCATGTCAAACGGCCCTTACAAAACTTACAGATAATTGGCTACACGCTATGGATCAAGGAAATCTAGTAGGCATAACTTTCATTGATTTTAGCAAGGCATTTGATTTGGTTAATCATGATATACTGATAAGTAAACTTCAATCATATCACTTTGATCAAATGGCTATTAAATGGTTTCATTCTTATTTAACCTCAAGGTCTCAGTGTGTAAAAATAGGAACATATTCCTCTGATTTTTTGCCCGTCACAGCAGGAGTGCCCCAGGGATCTATCTTAGGTCCCCTATTATTTTTATTGTATATAAATGATCTCCCTTTACATGTAAATAGAACAGATATTGATATTTTTGCCGATGATGCAACCTTACATACATATCATAAAAATATAGAAGGTATTGAGAATGCCCTAAACTTTGATTTGTGTGAGATTGAAAATTGGCGTTCCAAAAATCAAATGGTGTTAAATACCAACAAGACAAAATGTATGCTTAAGGGAACTCAACAAAGAAAATTAAGAATAAATTCCCCTGAACTAAATTTCTATGCTTCAAACAAATTAATTGAAAATGTCGAATCTGAAAAACTTCTGGGAGTGCATATTGATCATTCCTTGCGCTGTAATCACCATATTGACTCAGTTTGTAAATCTTTGAGATATAAATTATATACTTTACGCAAAATTAAAAAATTTCTTCCCTTACACACAAGAAAACTATTCTATAATGCAAACATTCTGCCTTCTCTGAATTATTGTCTTACTGTTTGGGGTAATGCGCCAGGTGCTGGCATAGATAGAGTTTTTAAATTGCAAAAAAGGGCAGCCCGGATTATATTAGATGTGGCTTATGACGCCCCTTCACTACCATTATTTGAAAAACTTGGATGGCTGACCATATACGAGTTGATCGATTTTCATAAATATGTACTACTGTACAAAACACTTCATGGTATGGCACCTACTTATTTAAGAGACTCTTTATACCCCCCGCTTGAAAAGTGGGGGTATATAGTAATCGGTATTTCCGTCCGTCCGTCCGTCTGTACGTCCGTCCGTCCGTCCGTCTGTCCGTCCGTCTGTTACGCTTTGGGGTACCCATCTCTTATCCGCAACTCCTCTCATACTAATGAATGAAATTTGATGAAACTTTCACAGAATCTTTATTACATATTGCCATTGTGCACCTCCTATTTTACTTTTTGATCCGACAGATATTTTGGGTTTCCCGGCCACAGGAAAAGATGGACTATTTCACCAGTTATAACCATATGGGAGGCGGGGGGTATCATTTAGTGAGCTCATCGCTCACAGTACCTCTAGTTTGAATTTATTTCTTCTAATAATTATGTTCTACGATCTGAAACAAACTATGACCTTCAACTTCCGAAATATCGAACAAATCAATTTAAAAATTCTTTTCATTATTCTGGTGTTCATTTATGGAACAAATTACCGTTGTATATCCGTTTTTCACAGAATTTACACACATTTCGTAAAAATGTTGAATCATTTATTATAACGTGTCGCAACTAAAATGTCCTAAGAATGTATTTTTACGTCATATTGTATTATTATACCCCCCGCTTGAAAAGTGGGAGGGTATATAGTAATCGGTATTTCCGTCCGTCCGTCCGTCTGTCCGTCCGTCTGTTACGCTTTGGGGTACCCATCTCTTATCCGCAACTCCTCTCATACCACTGAGGGAAATTTAATGAAACTTTCACAGATTCTTAATTACATATTGCCATTGTGCACCTCCTATTTTACTTTTTGATCTGACGTATATTTTTGATTTTCCAGAGCAAAACATGGACACTGCTATTATATTCGTATGGGAGGCGGGGGGTATCATTTAGTGAGCTCATTGCTCACAGTACCTCTAGTTTATTTATTATTGTAAAATGTTTTTATTATTGTACATGTATTATTGTGAACATGCTAAGAGGGCCCCGAGGAAGACTAGTGCATTGCACTAATCGGGTTACCCTCTCAAAATAAAGTATTATTATTATTATTATTATTATTAAAAGGGATTACGAACCAAATCAGAAAATTAGGCGGGACAGAACACAGAAATTTTACAATATCAAATAGAACATGAGGACAAAAAAGAACATTGGGACTTTACAAATAAAAACTTAATGTAAGGACCTTACAAACCAAAGCAAAATACGAGAACTACCAAACCAGAACAAAACTTTTGGACGTTTTTGGGTCCAGAGACAAAGGATGTAACAAACCAGGCTAAAACATATAGAAGCTATAGTCCAAACAGGAAATAAAGACATATTAACAGAAACAGAACATACCATGGACGTTACAAGAACTGGAGATAATGTGATCAATGCACTGAGATCATAATCATATAAAGATGAGTGTATTGTAATGGCAAAGTGTATTTCTCGGTACTTTGTAAATGAGATTCTGTGAAAGTTCATTTGAAATTCACGGAGAGCCTTAAGAGTAGTTAACAAAATGGGTACCCCCTTTTCTCGAGTATAATGGCAAAGTTGGTGGTTTGCTTTATGAAACTGAATATATCTGCCTAAACAATATGGCTTTAATATTGTGACTCGAGGTAGAGCAACAACAACCAATCGATGAAAAGATAAAATATTAGGGGGAAATATTATTATGAAAAAGATTCCGTAAAAGACTTGATAAATTGTTTTTAGGAATCTTACCGATGAAAAGGTACAACAGGATATGTAAAACGGCACTATGTAATTAAGATTCTGTGAAAAAAAAATGGGTGTAAGCTGAGTTGCGGATAGGCGATGGCTACCCAAAACTGTACAAGGAATGGAGACGTCTATTTTGCGTTGTGGAATACCAAATATCTGTCTCATCGAAACAAAACCTAGGAGGTGCACAGCGACAATTTGAAATACTAGTAAACATTCTGCAAAAGACTCAATGAACATCCCGTGATATAGGAGGAGTTACGGATCAGAGATTGGTACCCCCAGTTTTATAGTAAAAATGGTAATATCCATGTTTTGCAATGATAAAACCCAAATATTTGTCTAATCGAAAGAAAAACAATACGTATCATCATGTCATAAAATATTGTGTATGTTTTATTAATTGCATTTCGCGGTTTACAAGGGGTTGTGAATAAGGAATGATTACCCTCAAGAAAATGTATGGACAGACGCCATCATATCACTAAAAACCACCCATTTCATGGGACTAAATAAACCAAAACAGAAAACTACCAAGAGGATTTTAATTTATAAACTATACCAGAACTAAGAGGGAATTATAAAAACTAAAGGAATCAAAGTATTGAAAGAACTGAAGGCCGGGCTTTAATTGCTCGAGTATATTGTCTGATCCGAAATTAGTACATATTTAATTATTTTTTCTTTAGGCCATTGATTTTCAACGGGTAGAGTTTGTATGATTATGATGGAAACAATATATCATCTACCAGTAATTAAAATCTACAGGCCAGACCCCAAGATATATTATCATTTTAAAATTTGATAAATAATATTTCCAAGAAATTCACCATATTTTCTATTCAATAAGCTTTTTTTTCTCAAAATTTAAATTTTTTAATCGTTCTTGGAAAAGTTAAAATAATGCACATATGTATTTTCTAGAACATTCTTTTTTAGTTTCAAACAGACTGTACTTTTATCGCAAACTACATTAGAAACTATGATACAAGTACATGTACATTGTCATGCGACTCCACGCATGTTAATTTTTAAAATTACAAATCACTATACTATTAATTTGCTAAAAATCAAAACAGAATATAACCGCTAACGTTATATCGACGAAAACGATATGAAACATAAAACTCTTCAACAATTTCAACTTTTCGAAAAGCCCTCGCGATTGAAAATAGTTCGCTTACAAAATGCATTCAGCAGCATATGTGCAAAAATTGTTATATTGTGGTTATCCCAATAAAGCTAATATCTAATTTCTCTTTCTATTTAACTATCAAGCAAAAATATTGATCATTTACTTTTCCAACGATTGGGATGTTAAAAATATTTGTTTGAATATCGTCTCTGAATGGGACTATTTTGTTTATCGGAAACGTCTGCTTTGACGCTGTTTGGTTTTTTTGTTTAGTTTGCTATTTATAGTAAGACAGTCGATCATGATGTCTATAGCCAGGACTTTGCTTTCAGCAAAGCTCGGCTAAAAAGACACCATACAAAACTGAGGCAAGGGAATGCTATGAACCAAATCTGAACCAAGTGGACGTTATAGACCAAAACTGAACTGAGTGGACGTTATAAACCACAAAGCATGGGACATCACAAACTTTAACAGATATGCATGTTATGTTATATGTAAAAGCAAATTCTTTCTTACCGAGTCAAATCCTTGGAAGCCTCCATGGACTTGATTCTGTCCTTCATTGGCCGACACATTGTATTCTACGCCATCAATTGTGAAACGTGCTCCCTTTAAACGCTCTGTTATCCGACCGAGTGCTGCTCCGATGTAGGAATGCCTGGCCTCGTATTCTAAAGAGTGTAGAATTAGAATTAAAGAAAATCAATCTTTAAGACAAGGGAAACATACAATTTCAATGGAATGAGACTAAAATGTGATAAATTGAAAATTAACCTTTACCTTACTTACTTTGGCAACACCTTATTTTCACGATAAGCGAGACAAAACTTTACGAATGAAGGTTATTGTTCTATATAATCTTAAAGGTTACTAATATTTGCGAGAATGAAATTTTCACGAGCATACTGCCTCGCATAATTACTCAAAAACTTAAATTCCTTGTGTTTTTTAAAACTCTTTAGTCAATTTAATAAGTACATACTCGAGGCATTGGGTACGGTTAATTGCGCTATGTTTAGGAAAGAATACCAAGGCTTTTAAAAACTTAATGGAGTCCAGCGGAGAAATCCTTTTTTTTTTTTTTTTTTAACATTTTTATACCCCACGCTTGAAAAGCGGGAGGGTATATAGTGATCGGGATGTTCGCCTGTAAGTCCGTCCGTCTGTCCGCCGTTACGCTTTGGGGTACCCATCTCGTATCCGCAACTCCTCTTATACCGTTCTTTGAAATTTAATGAATCTGTCTTTCACAAATTCCTTATATAACATAATGCCATTGCGCACCTCCTACTTTACTTTTTGATCTGGCACTTATTTTAGGTTTCCCAGAGCAAAACATGGACTTTGCCATTATAACTTGAAGGGGGCGGGGTATCATTTAGTGAACTCATTGCTCACAGTACTTCTAGTTTTAATTAATTTTTAAGTTAAAAGGAAATGAGAATTTTATGTCTACACAACTGTACAAGTTCCACAATAATCCTTGAAGGATGGGAGTGTGTAAAGATTGTAAGTCACTACAATATTGTGATAGGTCCATGTATCTACTGTATAGGGGATTAATTTCACGGGTTGTAATTTTCACGTTTTTCTCTCATCTGACACGATCGCGGTTTCTTGAATTCGCGGAATTTGGTATGTATATAATAAAAGTTACTTCCCTTGTCTCCATTTAATCTATACCATAGCTACATGTAAACGAAATTAATCAGCGTTATGTTTTTATTTCACGAACAACAGGGTAAGTTATTATAAAATTGTTATATTTTTTAAATAAGTATTTAACACAAGTGCAATTATTAATAGTCTCTAAACGTCAAATGACTTTCCTATATGCTATTACCACGAGTGCATGTGCACCCAAGATCATAATACAACGCGGCGAAAAACCACTGGACGGAAATAAAAGTTTTTATGTAGTTCTACGAAATAATATCCTTCCACATCGTCAGTAAGTTCGATATTTATTTGAATGATTTTTTAAAACCAAAATGTCGATAAAAACTGTACATGAACTAATATCCATGAGAATGCAGGTAACAAATCCACATGGTAACATTAGTTACGCACGGGTAATCAAAACCCATGGCCCACGTGTTTTGATTGATGAAACACGTTGGCTATTAAAACAGCTTTTGAACAAACACAAATTATTATCTGCCGATTTGAATTAGAGTAAAGCGTGATAATTAAAATTAATTGAGTGACATTACAACTCGCAATTACTGAAGTGACCATGGACTGCACGTACACCTATACAAATCTATCGTAGTCTATTCACAAATTTCCAAATAAAACATGGAGATTATTGAAAATTTATTCACTGTTTCTTGAATTCACGGATTTGTTAACACCGTGAATATAGCGAATATTAACACCGCGAGTTATTTTCCCCCTATACAGTAATCAAACTGGTCTGTCATGTACATAAGAATATACTGTAGTTCAAAAAAGAATGCATGAACTTTTAAAGTCACCCCGCCACACCAAGATAAAAATGTATCATTTTTGACTATCAGGGGAAAGAAAACATAAATCTCTTCCGCAATGCCACATTCTTCAGTACATAAGAAAACACGATTTTTTACTTACCTGATGCGGTATCAAAGCCTAAACTGATATCAACTATTTTTCCGTTTTTGTCCGGCATCAAGATATCAGTAATTGTAGCTCCGTAGCTGATAATTCTGACAGTAACATTGTTCTTGTTGGTAAACGTAAATCTGAAAATAAGTATATCTTTAAAATATCATTGCATGTATTATCATTATACAAAATATTTGAAATCGGTCGTGAAGATATTTTGTTTCATAATTAGATGCTGTGCAAAACTATTGCTTTATCGGTTGAGAGGCAGCCTTTCATTTCAGGAATTCTGAAGTTTGATTATTATCAAAGTGTAAATTGCTCTAACTATAAGATTAATGGAGACCTATTTTTATATTCATATGAAGCAGAATTTTTGCAAAATCTTATGCGTGAAAAAAGGAAACACTTGCTGTGGCCTTCAACTCAACATTTAGATATATCGACGACGTATTGTCAATTAACAATGGGAATTTCCATTCCTACGTCGATACGATATATCCTGTTGAGCTTGTGTTAAAAGATACCACAGAGTCTGACACATCTGTTTCATACTTGGATATTTTACTTGAAAAAGACATTAATGGTAATCTAACAACCAAGCTATATGATAAACGTGATGACTTTAACTGTTCTATCGTCAACTTCCCTAACTTATGCAGCAATATACCTTCATCACCTGCATACGGAGTATATATATATATATATATATATATATATATATATATATATATATATATATATATATATATATATATATATATATATATATATATATATATATATATATATATATCAGTTGATTCGATACGCAAGAGCATGCTCTACGTAAGAACAATTTCTTAATTTCTTCTTCGAGGTAAATTATTGACAAGCAAGTTGATGAAACAAGAATAAAGTCATCATTTCGTAAGTTCTTTAGTCGATACAATGACCTTGTCAGCAAATACAATTTATCATTGAGTCAAATGCTGAGGGACGTTTTTCATACTAATTGTTAGTCAATTATTTATACACTTAATTGACGACGGATTTTTCCGTTATTTCCCGATCAGGACAAGGAGCACACGGCGGGTGTGACCGGTCAGAAGCGGATGCTCACTCCTCCATGGCACTTGATCCCACCTCTGATGTTTGCTCTGCTCCTAGTTTGTATTGTTTTATGGACTTTGAGATTGAATACTGTTCGTTATCTCCATATCCTTCTATGCAAACGAAAACTAGAGGTACTGGAGCAATGAGCTCACTAAATGATACCCCAGTATCCCATATGAATATAATGGCCGTGTCCATGTTTTGCTATGGGACACCCAAAATATGTGTCGGATCAAAAAGTGAAATAGGAGGTGTACAATTGCTAATTATGTTCCCCAAACGAAGTTGGGGAACATATTGTTTTTACTCTGTTTCTTATTATTAAGTCTTCCGTTCACAACGGAAGACTTATAGTGTTTGTATTGTTTCTTTTTATTATTAAGGTCTTCCGTCTCCAACGGAAGACCTTATTGTTTTCGTTCGGTTTCTTTTTCCCTTTTATTATTCCAACCGATTTTGTGCACGCAAGTTCCCAGAAACGGCTCGTCCAAATTTCACGAAACTTTCAGATCTGGTAGGTATTGATCTGAACCTTATTGGAAATTTTTTTGATTGATGACGTCACTTCTTATCTCGAGATATTTAGGATTTTCTGATTTTCAGAGGGTCGGCTTGTCCAGGAAACTCCTCCGAAACGACTTAAGATATCGACTTAAGATTTTCAGTGAAAATAAAGGAAGGTTTGGTGAGTTGTAATTGGGTCTCCAAATCTTTCTAGCGCGAAAGGCGCCGGAGCTCGGTAGGGCCCGAAAAAATGTCTCAGAAATATCTCACAAAATTTGACACATTTTGTTTCATATCTTCATACCTGTTCATAATTTGTTAAAACATATTGAAGAGGAAATGTGCAAAATTACAAGACCTTTCATTTGATACCAATAAAATTGGGCTGATCCCTCAAATTAGGGTCTCAGAGGGGCCAAAAGTTTTTTATCTATAACTCTCTAATGACTGATATTTTGTTATACATTACTGAAGCAAAAGTAGTCATCTTTACAATTTGCAACAATATATGATAAAATTTTGATCATTTGTTACCTAATTAGGGGTCACAAGGGGCCAGAATGTCACATCTTTGACGCTTTATAACTCAAAAAGGGGGAATATTTTGATAAGCAATATTGAACAAAAGATGGTCAGAATAATGTTTTAAACAATATGCATACTTTGAATTTTTGTAAAACAGCCCCATAAAGGACTTGTAGGGGTGGCCCCTAAATATGTATATAAAGCACATCTCCTAAACGAAAAGAAATCTCTGAATAGTTGTAGAACAAAAAATCTTTGTAATCACAAGACCTTTCGTTTGATATAAAGAAAATGGGGCTGACCCCTCACATTAGGGACTAAAAGGGGCAAAAATCTTTTATCTATAACTCTCTAATGATCAATATTCTGTTATACATTACTGAAGCAAAAGTATTTATCTTAAAGATTTGCAACAATATATGATACAATTTTGATCATATGCTACGTAATTAGGGGTCAGAAGGGACCAGAATGTCAAATCTTTGATGCTTTATATTTATATCTCGAAAAGGGGGAATATTTTGATAAGCAATATTGAACAAAAGATGGCAAGAATAATGTTCTCAGCAATATGCATACTTTGATTTTTTGTAAAACGACCCCGTTGAGGACTTGTAGGAGTGACCCTTAAATATTTTTATTTAGCATATCTCCACAACGAATAGAAATCTCTGAATAAGTGTTGAACAAAAAATCTTCAAAATCACAAGACCTTTCATTTGATATAAAGAAAAAGGGCTGACTCCTTAAATTAGGGACTTAGAGGGGTCAAAAGTATTTCATCTTCAACTCTTTCATGATCAATGTTTTTTTTTATAAGTATCCATTATGAGAAGCAAAGATATTCATCTTAATGATTTAGAATAATACATTATAAAGTTTTTTATCATATGTTACGTAATAAGTGGTTGCAAGGGGCCAAAATGCTATATCTTTGATGTTTTATATCTCGAAAAGAGGGAGTATTTTTATAAGCCATATTGAACAAAACATGTTCAGAATATCGTGATAAAAATCAGAAACTTAAAAAGAAATGAAGGAAAACTTAATGTCATTCTCTTTTAACGAATATATCAGTCAAAATCACATCTCATCTTATCGAGAAATTCAACGGAAGACCTACTCGTTGCTCGCAACGAGATCTCATCTAGTTATTATTATTATTATTCCTCCCAAATTTTGTGAGCGCGATTACTCAGAGATGGCTGGATAGGTTTTCACAATTTTTCTCATGTAAGTAGGTTGATATATGAAGTATATATAAAATTCCGCTTTTTGAAAAATTCACTTCCAGTCCGAAGTTATGGCCGATTTTCGAATTTTAAAATGGACTTTTGTCCGGCAGTTTTCTCGGACACGGTTTGAGGTAAAGATAGGAAATTTACAGGAGTATTAGATCATGATATTCTATTTGTTTTGAAGTTGTTTTCGTGTGTTTCCAGTACTTCCTGTCCGAACCGGAAGTGAATTTGTTTTTGGTCAATTTTTGATTTTTTTGTTTTTAGATATTTTTTCAAGATATTCTTATGTAAAAGAGACATTTTTCTACAAATGCTAAATATATAATTTGTTTTTAATCAGATTCCGCATTTTGTATATTTTCGGTACCGAAATTTTCTCTATTTACGTAGTATGTATAAGGTGGGCAAAGAAAGATAACTCTGACCTGTGAATGAGAATAGAACTTTCGAGATAAAGGCGGAAATAGTATTGATGACGTTAGAGACATATATACGCTCTCCAGATCAACATATTTACACATTCAATATTCTCTCTTTTGCATATTACTTAATTCACTATATGCATATTAGTTTAAATTTGGCTGTGTAGTGTTAGTCTGTATATTGAAAGTTTTTGATTTACAAATTTATATCTTAGAAAAAATATCCGTTCTGTGTCAACTAAGTATATACAACAGCGATGAATATACAAATCATTCTACAAAAATACTAAACATATTATTTATTCAATCTGATTCTGCATTTTGGAGAAATAAATTCATTTTCTCTATTTACGTAGTGACAATGAGCAAAGATAGATAACTCTGACTTGTAAGTGGGAATAGAACTTTCGAGATAAAGGCGGAGGTAGTATCCATAACGTCGCAGACGTCTATATCCACACTTTTCACATAAAAAATATTTAGACTTTGAGTTTCCATATCCACTTCTGCATGAAAGGTTACGTTGGTTACTGCTTTCAGTATATGCATAGTTTAAAGTTGTCAGTTTAGTGTAAATCTGTAATGTCTGTTATGATTATATTTAAAAAAAATATTCTTAATTCATTCTCTAATTTGAATGCGAAAATATCCCGGAATCCGAGTTTTATTTTCGATTCTAAAATATTATATGTACTCAAAAGGGAACTGAGAGATAGAAGAGTAATGTAATACCGTTGTAAAGCCTTTAGAAATAAATTGATATCTGCAACTTAAAAGAAAGAAAATCAATCTATAGATTGGATATGGTTTTAACACGTATATTTCATTGATTAAAAGTCTGATAGTGTTATTTATTATACATGATCTATACTTTTATATACCCGAGAAGTTATTAAAGATGAGAAAAAGCGATTCTTGGATTTTTGTGAAATACTAGTACTCAAAGGGTTAACATTATGTGAAAGTTACGCGTTTCTGTGTGAAATAATGCTACGCTAAAAACATGATACAAAAACATCTGCAAAGGTCTGTTGATATGTTAGATAAAGTATACGAATGAACACAATTTTATGCAATGCTATATAATTATATGTATGTACATGCAACCTTAAGTATTTTCCTTTTAATTCATAAAACATAAAATTACCGAGTTTGTAATTCTTTTGACCCCCCCCCCCCCCCCTTGATTTTATTCGGAGACATTATTGCAACTATAGGCCTTTGAATTATAAATTCGTTATGCAATTAACTCTGGAACATTTGATTATAATTAACATGTATACAGAATTCATATCCTATAATAGTAGATTTTTCATTACGCAAGATACTGAAATTTACATGTCTGACAGAGAGAGAGAGAGAGAGAGAGCGAGAGATTCCCTTTTAATCCTGATTATCCTATCCATTTACATAGACAAAAAATCAGTTCTATATCAGTTGTACCCATTCTTTATTAAATATTTTCTGATTTCATTGTCCGTCATAGTCACTCTCTGTATATTTTTTCTGCTTAAGAAGTATTACACTAAGTGCACATGTATTGACCTGTCAATCAAAATCACCGGACGCTGTATGCATTGCAATAAAGTTGTTCAAAATCATTTTTATTATTAAGTATGATCTTTAAGAAAATCTGATGCAACAAATTTGAGAAATGAAAAATGAAATAAAAACATGGCTAGAGCATCATATATCTGTATCATGGACTTCAGTTGTGGGACGTGGAGACCGGTCCGTCAGATGAGATCGTTTAAATCGAGGTCCCGTGTGTCAGATGGTACTGACTCAAAAAGATTCCTCACTGCTCAATGGCGATTAGAGCCAAATTATAGGACAACATTTTGCAGTCTCCACCGGCGAGTTGAGGCTTCTCCATGTGAAAAATTCTCGAGAGGGACATTAAACAACATATAATCAATTAATCGCTGAATAATTCCTGTAGTTGAATTCGAATAATCTTTCTGCTGACAAATCTCGATAGTATTACTGTAAAAATCAACGACTTTACGTTTAATGTGGTACTAACTTAGTTCATGACATTTTTATAACACCATCACAATTGTGCCAGAACATAAACACAGTGAAATTTATGAGAGTACGGTGTTCGTTCGTCCGTTGGTTTGTCTATGATACACGTGTAGCTCTTATAAGTGCCAAAATGCATAAGAACAAGATTGGTCATGAAAATCAAAGTACCTTAAGTATTGAAAGACCTTTTTGCAGTTTTTTTTTTCTTTCAGAGTACATATGATATCTATGTTTTTTGCAGAGAAAAAAGCAAATTCTTACAGATTTAAGAAGAACGGAAGACTTATTTGTTGCCATGGCAACAAGATTCTAGTTATTATTATTTTTCTTCTTCTTCTTCCTGGAACTTTTTTGTCCGGGAATGATCTTGTAAACTGTTCTTCCAATGTAGGTAAAACCTTTTTAGGGTTAGTAGACATGTTATGTAGATTTGCGGAATCAGGGTCATTTTGCGCGCACGTGCTTGCAAGAGCGTGCACGTGCAACACGTGAAATGACCAATATAATAGATATAGCCACAACTTTTCTTTTTTTAAATGAAATGCTTTGAAACTCATAATGTGAGGATATATTAGTAGTATAGACATGACGACATGGTGAAAATAGCAAGATCTCACGCGCATGCACGTGCACTTCGCTCTGATTGGCTGCAACTAAAGTCTCAATATCTTTCTTGTTTTTTGACGAAATCCTTTGAAATTTTGAACATAGCCATGCATTAGGATATCCTACAACATGTAATAAAGCAATTATCATGAAAACACGTGCATGCACGTGCGCTGCAATCTGATTGGCTGAAACTTTAAACAGCTATAACTCCCTTGGTTTTCAACCAAACAGGATGGGATTTGGAATATAGATAGATATAATGGACTTCTACAAGTAGGTATGGTCACCATGCACATGCATACACGTGCGTGTACATGTGCTGCAATCTGATTGGCTGAAACTTGAAACAGCTATAACTCCCTTAGTTTTCATCCAAACGGGGTGGAATTTAGAACATAGATAGATGTAATGGACTTCTACAAGACGGTATGGTCACCATGCTCATGTATGCACGTGCGTGCACGTGAAATGAGTAAAATCAAACATACACTTGAATGAGCGTATTTTTTAAATAATTTTGGATTAAATACTTTAATATTCAGTGTATTAAAAATATAGATTGTGTAGACAAGATGATATGGTCATGACGCAAATGCATTCACATGTTCACGCGTGCAATGCTAAAGTTTAAATGATTTTTTGTACACTTCTTTGTAAATGTTGTTAAAATCTCAGATGCATAGAGTTTGTCTTATTTAATGAAGCTTACAGGGAATATGACACCAAAAGGGAGTTGGGGAGCGTTTGGGGAACATCTGTAACGGTCCCCGTTACAATTAGCACTAGTTTTATTAAAGATTCTGTGAAAGTTTCATCAAATTTCATTCAGTGGTATAAGAGATGGGTACATGTACCCCAAAGCGTAACAGACAGACGAACGTACAGACGGACGGACAGACATCCCGATTACTATATACCCTCTGGCTTTTCAAGCGGGGAGAGGTATAAAAATATTACATGAAATCACTGTTTACTGGTGGCAATTGCTTTGAGGCAAACATTAAGGAAAAAGTGTTGCTTTCTCGAAGTATTCCACTATTTTACTGAATAGAATCTTTTAATGATTTTAAAGTTAATTTAAAGTAAAAGTGATAGTAAAATGAATTTTTAAAATAGCAATGTGCTGCATGCTGCTAACTTTTTATAAAGTAATGAATTAGCAATATCTTTAACAGGTCCTTAGCTATTTGTGATGAGGAGGATTTAAGTATCAGCATAAAAAAAGTGTTCGAGCGACTGAAACAAAATCAAACGCTCTTCTATCTCGCCAGCTTGATCATGTCAATTCTAACAAACCATATCCTTGAAACGTGCTTTTTTGCAGCAGTAATCAAATAAAAAAATGATAGTTTATCACTGGTATGAGCGCCAAAACCAAATCACTCTTTGATAGGAAAATCCAAGGTTTTGCACTGGAATGGAAAACCCTTTTTCATTTCGTCAGGTATTTAAAATATATTTTCCCTTGGGGAACTGGAATCTTGCTAACCCCTTCAATGATATACTTTAACTGTATACTAGTATTTGATATAACCGTGCTTTCGTGTCACTGAGAAGTTTTCCCTTTCAAGATGTATTCAAGAGACAGAAATCTTTTCTGTAAGAGCATACATCCTTTAATAAGAAACCTATTTTTATTGCAGCATCGGTAGGAATAAGTGCAATCGGAAGCCGAAGTGTTACCTTTCAACATTCATAAAGTAAATAGGAAAAAGATACGTGCATTGCAATTTATCCATGTACATAATATAAATTACAGTAAAAATGTAATTTACTGATTAGAAAATTAATAAATTTGTCATTTTAAGGAAAATTGTTTTAAAATATACAAAATTGAGTTTCGTATACCGGGTTATTACATGTTAGATTTACAGGACTTGGGTCGTGAATGTATATAATACTTGTGTTTCTATTCATTAATTTTATCAAACAGACAACAAAAGTAAATTATTTTTAAGGGTAGAATTTGTCAAAAAATTATACATATATTAGTGACACCATTTTTTTGTACGAATGTGAATAAGAGAACTCCGTAATGTACTTTATTAATTTACCTCTTCTCTCGTAGTTTAAAATACATTAGTAATATATTAGTTAAACTTGTTAGAAACACATCAAGTATGCATATGCAAGGAAGGTAGTCGACATGTACTGTACACAGGGGCAATTGAAGTGATATTTATTATGCCCCCACTTGAAAAGTGGGAGGGTATAGACTGATCGGGATGTGCGTCCGTCTGTCTGTTACGCATTGGGGGTACCCATCTCTTGTCCTCAACTCCTCTTTTACCGCTTAATGAAATTTAATGAGACTTTCACAGAATCTTTGTTACATAGTACCATTGTGACTTCCTATTTTCCTTTTTGATCCTAGGCATATTTTCGGTTTCCAAGAGCAAAACATGGACGATGTCATTCTTCCTATAATATTGAAGGGTACCCATCTCTTATCCGTAACGCCTCTTGTACTACTGAATACAATTTAATGATACTTTCACAGAATCTTCATTACATAATGTCATTGTGCACCTCCTATTTTACTTTTTGGTCTGACATGCAGTTATTTCAAGTCTCCCTGACCAAAACATAATATAATCATTTGGGAAGCGGAATGGTATCATTTATGAACTCAGTGCTCACAGTACCTCTAGTTTAAAATTCAAATAAAACTTATCATTTCTTTGAATAAGATGCTGTAGAAGTTGCGTGTTATTCCCTGGATCATACAGGTTCTTTTGCTCGTACAGGTTATGTGTTTGACCCTATTACCGATTAGACAAGGCTTTTTAAACAATTTGGTCTTCATCATTTTGTATTGTAAGCTCTATAAGCGTCTTTTTCAAGTTAGTTTGAAGATATTGCCAAATATTATCGTCATTCAAGTGCAAATGCACTTCTAACAATGATAGCATTCAGCATTATCTTCGATGACTAACCTTTTCACTTGTCTGCCATCTTTGATATTACCAAAGGCTTCTTCTGTTGGAATGACTGGGGGAACTTCTGTAGGAAGAAATAAATATTTACTTTCAGTGATTGAACCATCTGCACGAAATAGAACATACGTATAATATAAGATCATTATTCCTCTCTCCAAAAGATAGGAGATAGCAGTTTACGAAAAGATTATTGGTATCTTTGCTTACCAGGCTTCGATAATGATACATCCATTGTGCAGCAATAGAAATATTCAATTTTTAAATGATCGTTAATATTTTATTATTAGTTTGAAAGCTTTGTGTCCTTTGAATTCTTTATCTTGAGGGGGAGATAAGAGCTAGTGACCTGAATTAATTGATAAAAGGTCCGAGTTTACAAAGTGAAACATTTTTAGTTTCCGTGGAAGTTCTTTTGCTCACAAAGTTCAATGCTTCTGACAGCAGAGACATAAAATAGCTTTGGGTTTAGACAAACGGGGTACGAACCTGAGGACACTTTAGACTGGTACATAATTAAACTTCATATATTTCATATATCAAACTACATGAAATGTGTCATAAGATAAAACAGCTCTTTTTGAATTCGTAAGTGAACATGACTCGACGATTACGCAATCTGTATTTTACTATAATCATGCAAACAAACCTTGTTTTAGTGCTGATGTTTTCCCAATGTTATCTTCTTCTTTGCCTATAAAGCAAACAGAAAGCATCAAATGACGATAACGTTTTTAATTTATACTCCTCTTTATTTTTTTAATTTTATTTTTTTTACTGTGCTTTGCTCATCAAATAAGAAAACAGACCTCCTTGCTGTTATATTTCAAGAGCAAGTTAAGTGGAAATCATGTTCAAACGTTCTATAATAATCTTTGAAATATTTGCTACGATATCATCAACACAAAGATGCTGCGTCATTGCTAGAGTAAAAACTCAAATTCGTAGATAATGAAATAAAAATTAATAAAAATTGCACATAAAATCTTGATATTCAAAATTCATGAAATTGATCACGATTTTTTAAACTCTTGCTCATTGCACTATATAGTTCTACTCGTTCAGACAGAATGGGTTGTGATACAAACTTTTCCAAAAGAAATTTAATTCATTATCTAAATGCGCAAATTTCCGCATACTTTTCAATTCTGAGAAAAAATCGTGAAAATAATTTTTCAAGTAGGCATGACATATAAACAAATTATTCATTTTTTCCAATGAAGTTATCTCTCTTAACAGCGAGTCAATGAATCTTAATTTTGCTTAATAAAAATGTACCAGCTTGCAAATTGATAGGGTACTTTGATTAGATTTTAAAAATAAAAAATCATAACTGTGTCACCCTTCATTAAATGGCTGTATCTCTTTTAACATTTTACTTACTGGAGAAGTGAACAGCCACTCCAATAACCACGGCGGCCACACAGACGGCGGCGACCACGCCCACTACGATGGGGACACGCTTACTGCTCCTGACAGGGTTACCTTCTGTAAAAAAGAAAATAAAAACGGGAAAATCTGCAGGAATAAATACCTCCTTATCTATTTGGACAATTGTAATTCAATGGTCAAAGTCATACAATGCATTAAAGTGAATATTTGGGTACGAGTATTTTTCAACACTTTTTTTTACGTACAAGAAATACAGCAAATTCAAAGGGCTAAGTTTAGAACTGAACTATTTTGACAAAAGTGTGAGGCAATCTAATAAAAATCAGAGTGAAACTTCTTTGATCCATGCCATATTCACTCTGCCAAAAAAAAGTGTGTACGGTGCGGATCTAATTATAAGAAGTCTGATTTTAAATGGATTGAAGTTACCTCAAACGATTAATTCTTTATAATAATAAAAAAATGAATATTTTATTGATGCTCAACCCAAAATTATTCACTGATTATAGGAATTCTTATTTTAGATTTATGAATAAAATTGATACTTATTGTGCTGTTCAACTTAACTTTGATAAAACTCTGAATTCATTGTAATTTTCAAATTATCAAGATTTTCTTTATGATTAATACAGAATGAACGTCACTACCTCATGAATCTTCAAAAAAATTAAATTCATTTCTTATATTTACATCATTTTTGTGATGACTTGCCATAAATTTACGCCGTTCAACTGTCATTTTTAAAACAAAACAGGGTGCACTTTATTTTTTGACTTTTTGACGTCAAGAGCGGTATTATGACCTAACAATGAAGATATTCACGCTTATTCGTGATACATACCTAATGTAGTTCATGAGAAAATATACTGCATTTTATTTTGTAAAGAATCATAAGGGAAATTAATTGGAAATGTAAATATTTACATGTATTTATAAACATTCTAAGTTCATTGGTTCAAAAACAGTGTGTTGGTAAAACCACTAAGAAGTCTGACATTCTGCTATCATCATCAATCACTACATTGAATTCTAAGAGTTGAAAGTAAAGTTATCCACTCAAAATCTGAGAAACAAAAAATGTGCATACCACCTTAAAAAATTTTATACTTTCCATGCATATCATAAAAATAAGGAAGTAAATTTTCTTACAACTCCTTTAATCAGCACTCGCAAAATCTTAAATTAGTTCTATAAAAAAAAATTCGTCAAATCTTACAGATGTAATTTCTAGTGCATAGGAGGGTTGTCCCCAAATTCCGTAAACATGTGTATTTTTGTAAGAATTCGGTATTATAAATTAATGAAACTTCTAACATTTATAAAACTAATAAAAACTAATAAGTTTATGGATAAAAATTGAGTAATTACACATTTGTACCGTATTTAAAGACAATACCGGTGTCTTGCCATATAAGAAGGCAGCCAGGTACCCATATATAACAATAAAAAATCGGCATGTGATATGGACAATTTAAAAATTTAATTCTCAAAATTTCCATTAAAAATATAATATTTATCTTATATAAACTACTTTTCGTCCAATTTTATGAATATGATTTTAGAAAGTGTTCAGATAGCCTGCACACTGCACTGTGATCAGCTGTTCTGAACTTAAATTTAATCCTACAGAAACGTAAAGGTCATAAATGTCTGGTACGAATGGATGGATATGGATATGTCTTTTGATCCTTGTTTTATCAAAATATTCTAAGTTTGTGAAATGCACAACTAAAAAACTGGCGGAGAAAGAGGCATGAAATCGTTTTCAAACTGGCATTGCATCTCTGTTCGAGAAGACCGAGAAATCAAAATCCATCAGAGATATAAAGGGTCATTAAGATCATTTTTATTGGATTTTATGTGTTCGTATTTTCTGGTGTTAAATCATACCAAAGCAATTAAGATATTTTTCATTTAATTTTATAATCTTCAAGATAAATACTAGTAAAAGAATTTGATTTTTGTAATAAGTGTATATACCCCAATCAATTGTCCTAAACTGGTAACGTTAATATACGTGCATCTTTTTTGACGTCGGAGATTGCTCTGGGTATGACTGAAAATTGTAATTACTCGACTTGTTTTTAAGTTATTATTAAAATTTTGTAATTTACCAACCAATAACACATTAAACACTTCATCAATCTAGAAAATTTTAGTGAGATACGTTCAAGCTGAATGTTGTTAAGAGCTCGTCTACGGAATTTTGGTACAACCCTTGTACATAAAGAAATGGTCTTATCTAAAAGGATTAGAATCATGCAACTGCATGCTGACTGCATCTGCAACCACAAGGGCATATGCAGGGTATGAATTTGAAAGCTTAATTATTAACAAAAACTTTATGCCATTTTCAAAAGAAACTATCAAAGTCAGGGCCTTGACATTTGCAGAGTAGACAAAAGTACATAAATCATGCCCTTGATTAATAGTATAAGTTAAAATTAAAAGAAAAATTCCACATCAGATTAACTTACCCGCATCTGCCATGGTGAATATGGTGAGGGAGAAAATAATTCCAGCAGATCAGAGCACTCAGCACCAGATGAAATCTCCAAAAGATGGGCTACTAGAAGGAAAACATCGACTAATTGAAGTTAAGCCTCAAAATAACAACGGAAAAGGTATTCAACTTTCAACAGAAAACACTCTTGACCTACCTTTTTGATTTCACGAGTCGATGAATCTGCTTCTGGGAGCTATAATCGCGCACGCTTTCTCTCGAAATTAAAACATCGACAGTTTCCATCAGTTGTGCGTTATCATTTATATCATATTATATAAGTATTGGTGGGAATTTCAGATACGCCCATGGATTGCACTAAGTATAACGAGAAGTGATGCTAGTTTGTCTTCTAATTCTGGGGCATGTTTCGGTTTTCTCGTTTCTAAATTAAACAAGTTTGGATTTTGTTTTGTTGGGGTTTTTTCTTTGAATAAAAAAATATTGATGATCTTTTTTCCCATTTCGACGGTGGTTTAGAATGGGTAATTCTGTAGTTTTCGTTTTTACACGGCAGAGGATGCGGAGTCCTTGAACTTTTTTTTTAAGTTCATATACAAGTACGGTATAAGTACCATATTCTCTGTACAGCTAAGTATAGAACGTAGAAATTTATAGTGGAATTTTATACAGATAATAACCGTGAGTAGTATGGTGGACTTAAATTATCTTATTTATCATTATGTGTTGTCCTTGTCAAACCAAGGACTGCATGCATAAGGCAGAACTCGTTAACTGATTCATACCTTCGCTTGAAAAGCAGAAGGGTATATAGTAATCGGGATGTCCGTCCGTCCGTCTGTCACGCTTTGGGGTACCAATCTCTTATCCGCAACTTCTCTTATGTACCACTGAATGAATATTTTAATGAGACTTTTACAGAATCTTTGTTGCATAGTGCAATTGTGCACCTCTTATGTTACTTTTTGAACGGACAAATATTTCGAGTTTCCAATAGCAAAACATGGACAATGAAATTCTAATCTTTCTCTAATATCGAAGGGTATCCATCTCCTATCCGCAACTCCTCCTATACCATTGAATAAAATTTAATGATATTTTCACAGATTCTTTAATAATACCATTGTGCACCTCCTATATTACTTTTTGATCTGACACTTACTTCATGTCTCCTAGAACAAAAAAATGACTTTGCCATAATAAGGGTATGGGAGGCGGGGTATCATTTAATGAGCTCAGTGCTCACAATACCTCTATATTGGATAAGTTGAATCCGGTGTTTTAGTCCACAGTTCAAGAGATCAACAATTAAGAGTTTGCCAATTATTTTCTTGTATGAAAATTGAGTAAAATTTTGTGTCTTTTCCATGTTCGTCTGACTGTCGGTCAACCTTCAGTTTGTCTTTTTACTTAAGGTATCCAAACCAAACTTGTAGATGCCGTACACCTGTGAAATGTAGTTTTAATTACTCACACAGGTGGGAAGGGGGTCTTTTTTTCTTTTTAGTCCCTTAAGTTTATAAGATAACTAAAATTAATTCATGTCCAAAGATTGTTTTTTTGTATTCTATAAGTAAATCAAATTGGAGTACCACTTGTATTCTATAACTCAATCAAGTTTTCGCTGTAAAAATATAAATCAACATATATATCATTCTATTTCATAGATAAGTTTAACATGCTCTAGGTAGTGACTTGGTTGTTTGACGTACTTAATTACAGCTTTAAGGAAACCCCTTATACATTAGAACTGAAAGTCTGAAACCTAAATAAAAGAGATTCCAAGAACAACCTCTTGTAAAAAAAAGTTTCTTGGAATTTCTTGGTAAGATTGAGACGATACTAGATAATTGGGATAAATTGATATATTAAGATTTTTTTTCTCTTGGCTTCGACAGAGATAAAGTAGTATGAATTTTTCATAAGTGTGCTACAGTAAAGTGTCTTTGAAGTACATTGTATTTAAGTACATAAATCGTATATTTGATCCCTATGGATTATATATACAAGCAAGTTTTATCTCTATTTCGTCATCATAGATCGAAACATTGTGAAATTCTAGTAACAGAACTAACATAAAATATATTTCTTTTAACTCTTTTATTAGAAAATTGGAAGAAAATAAAAATTTAAGTGTTTTTGACGTTCTTACTTACGAATTATACATGAAACATATGGAGATAACGAACAGTATTCAAGATCAAAAGTCCATAAAACAATACGGGAAGGAGCAGAGCAAACACGGTTCCCTTAAACATCAGAGGTGGGATAAGGTACCATGGAGGAGTGAGCATCCCCTGCCGACTGGTCACACCTCCTGTGCTCCTTTTCATGGTCGGGAAATATCCGTCGTCAATTCAGTGTATAAATAATGGACTAACAATTAGTATGAAAAACGTCAGTCAGAATTTGACACAATGATAAATTGTATTTGACGATTGAAAAGTTTGAGTCATCACGTTTATCACAGAGCTTGGTTGTAACATGCGAATTATGAAATACTGGTAAAGTTTTCAATAGCCTGCTGGATAGCTCAAGAGGGAATACAGTTTGGTCTAACAAGTATCACATTAGGTTTGAATCTAGGTCGTGGGGTTAATCAGGTGTATCAGTAGGATTTACAGGTAAATGTGAGTTGATTTCATTGTTGTTTGAAGCCACATATTTCATAATAATTATGTGCCAAAGTGTTCTGTTGCTAAAAATGCAATATTTTTCGATTGCAATTATTTTTTCAATAAATTTGCAGTATTGTTTATCAAATTTATTAAGTTAGCTCCCCATAACCAGTTTTCTCTCATCTTCTTATAATTTGTAAGGATTGTAAATGAAAACATCATAAATATGATATAAAGAAGAAATTAATTGTCTAATTTGTTTGGTATGCCAGGACAACAACAATAGTTGGAAACGTGGAGAAATTTGCATAACGGGCTTTATATAAGTTGTACAGTGTATAAATTAATTTATGATCAACATCTCCACATCCAGCTTGTTTCTAATTATTTTTTTTTCTATTTTTTTGAAATTTTAAGTAATCTAACAAAATTATAGAACCTAACCAGATTATCAAAAATGATGAGAATTTGAAAAGTTCAACAAATAATGTATTCACAGTTTTCGACATACCCAAATGCTGGATTGAGCAACGTTATTCGTTAAGCAATTAACTATTAATTTAAGGCAAGGGGTGTTGGGGCTATTGTATTTTTGAAAAGAATGAAAATGAACGAAGAAAAAAATCTCTATTTTGAACTTGCTTGTAGGTCGTGTAAATAGATTACAAAAGATTTTGCATAAAAGCATAAAATTTACCTGACAAAAATATTTGCAATTAAGAAAATTAATGCACTTTTAACAGCAAAGCACATACATGTACATGTGGCTTCAACTCACATTTATCGGTAAAATCTAATGATACACCTGAGTAATCTCATGACCTAGATTGAAACTTAATGTGATACTTGTTAGATCAAATTGTATATTACCCTATTGAGCTTAGCTCTCTAGCAAGCTATTGAAAACTTTACCGGTGTTTTGTAATTTGCTGTAAATTATCATCAACGTCTCTTTCAAGTAAAATATCAAAATATGTAGCAGACGTGTCAGACTCTGTTGTATCTTTTATCTCAAGCTCACCGGGATATATCGTATCGACATAAGAATGGAAATTAATATTGTTAATTGACAATACGTCGCCGATATATGTAAATGTCGGGTTGAAGGCCACAGCAAGTGTTTTCTTCTTTTCATGTATAAGAATTGGACAAATTCTGCTACATATGAATTCAAAAATAGCTCTGCTAATAACGTGGCGCAATTGGTACCCATGGGAATTCTAATAGATTGTTGGAAGACCTGCACCTCAATATTAACGTTCAAATTGATCAAAATATTTTTGATAATTCAATCCATCTGTGCATCTCAAATAAAAGATCAAGTTTTAAAAAAAAACGAACAAGTAAAAAAAAAAGGGGGTTGTTGTTTGATTTTAATAAATTAATACGAACAGATTCCAAGGAATTGTAACGTGTTACAAGAATTCAACACTGAAGTTTGGGTTTCGATCGGACGAATGGACAAGCAAAATACTGACGTAATCATTCTCTCTATTAATTTTGGGGTACCCATCTCTTATCCAATTATTATAATTTCTCCCAAACCAATGATAAAAATCTAACGAGACTTTTACTGAATTTTTGTTACATAGTGCTATAATTGTTTATTTTATTTTCTGATCAGATAGATACCCTGGTATTTCATGGTTCCCAATACAAAATATGGATATGGAAGCAAAGGGGGGTATTATATATTTTTTTATCTCAGTGCTGACAGAACCTCTAGCTAGTGTACTGGGTAATGAAACGAAAGTACCCCGGTAGTCTTTTTTTAAAATGTAATTGGCAAGGGCCCCTCTACAAATTATCCTAAACATGAAGTTTGTTGAGAGACAGTTTGAGCAACTTGTCCGACCTGCAGTCTTGAAAGAAATGTTATAAATATCGATCATAAAACAACGATCTATGGAGTTTGCCGAGAGATTAAGGGTGACCAGAAGAGATTGCTGTAAGATCGAAAGAGATTAATGAGAGATCTTAAGTTCAAACGTTATATGTTCTTCCAAAGACTTCTACCTCTGAGGGATCATATGAATATCCAAGAGATTGCTGGTCGATCTTTCTGCATTCGTAGAGAGCAGAGAGATCAAGCAACTATGGAAGATTCCGAGAAATCATAGCTAGGCTTGGCCTTAGGCACTGCAATCTCTCAACGTCTCCGTTTCTGTGTAAAAGGGGTTTAATAAGAAAGAAGTGAATAGTTTAATGTAAACTAAAGATATGTCCTATACTGTACAATTGTTGAAACGTCTGTGCAGCTATCGTTGACTGTAGTCAATGAATTTTACTATTTATTGAGAAAATGATCATCTCCTCTGTTGTAAAATAAGACTTATATTATTAAGAGTTATTGAAAGGTTTTATTAAAACTATTGTATCATTGCTTACATTTGCACCATTTTGTTTTATTGATAATGCTGTGCCAAGATAGATTTTGTACACAAAATGCTGTTTTGTAGAAAATAAAAATCAATGAAATAGGGAAAAAAGCAACAGCTGAGAGCAGTAATCTAATACGATAATTACAGGTATACAATAGACAAAATCATACTTAATTAATCTGCTACTTGATTAAACTTGTATCGACTTGAACTTTAAATGGCCTTTTTAAACTGCATTAAAATTTCTAAAGGTTAATCTTAATTAAAATCTTCTAGATTAATAAAGGGATTACTCTTTGCATACAAAAGTGCTTGATTATATCTACTGTATTCTGTTATAATTGACCAAGAAATGTCTTAATTCTAACCAAATTATGAAGTTTTTAACAAATTGAAATTCAAAGACTGATTTAAAACAATGCAGAACTAAAAAGAAAAACTGTAACAATCTTCATATTATAATAAACAAGGTATATTAGACTCATAATATCATTGTAAAATATATTGCACATTTGAAACATTTTTTCATTAGTGATAGTAAGATATAAATATAAAAGTAGAACACCAAATGTAGCTATATTCTACAAGATACACCTAATTTTAAAAAAAAATCTAATTTAAAAAAAAATACATACAGAATGTACCTATGTACAAAAATCCTGTCCAACTATTAAATTTTTATTTCTACGTTATCACATTATAAAAATTGAGGACTATTAACTTGTAAAAGAAAAACTAAAATAAATAGAAAATATGAAAATATATCTACTAACAGCTAAGTGAACAGTACCAATATAAAAAGAAATGTGCACCTAAAGAAATTATCACAACCTCATCCATGGACGGCTCCAACACAATAATTCAACATAAAACTTAACAACTTTGAGGAATGTGTGTGCATATTATAAACAAGTGCCCATAAACAGTTTTTATACATGTAAATAGTAAAATACAAGAGTATTGTAAAAAATTATCTTTTTGATTTGGAGAAATACGAACATACATGTCTAGTTATAATACACAAATTCTTTACATCAACAAGTTATTACAATTAGGTATTCATAACTCTCAACCGTGGTCCTACTTTTTAACAGTAGCTCTAGATATTTACAAGTAGATTGGTGCTTGTGTGTTTCTAGCATTTTCCTTCTGAATCTATAATTGCCAGTGTATAGTTCTTACTCTTCATTTGAGAGAGGAAGTCCTCCACAGACATAATATTACATAAACATTCATGTCAGAGTGGCAAAGCGAAATACAAGGAAAAAATCTATTTTTTCTTACAGGAAATACTCTGTCCACTTATGAATATATAAAAAGAAAAAAAAAGTTATTGAGCATATAAAGACATGAATATAAAGATTTCTTACATAAGTAACAAGTGTCAATCGTTGTAAATATGGTATACAGCTGATTTCCATATAATTATAGCATCTACAATATTTAAGTGTTCACATTATAATAAAACACAATAAATATACAAGTAACTTATGATATCAGCTAGATTTTAATTTAATTTAAAAACTACAATTAACTTCAAACTAACGAAATCTTGATACCATTTGCTTTATTCATAAATTTACACTGTGATATTCAGCAACACCAGTCTACTCTGACTCAAAATTTGTGTTCCAGTGCATGCTGGATTAGACAGTTTCACTATACAACCAAATTCTTGTTGCGTCATTAAACTTCACTAACCATATGATCATTTTGACTTGTCAATGGAACAAAAGGTAAAATAAAATCTGACATTTCACTGGAATCATCTCCACTCTCGTACAAACTATCATCAATAAACACTTGTTGTGGGATAGGTTTCATGGCCATCAGATTTGATGACAAATCAGTTGTTGCCATGGAAATAACATGGCTTGAGGTAGTGCTGGAATCCTCCATTTTCTCAGATAAATCCACATTTTTTAACTCAGTTTCTAAATTTTCTAAATCAATTATCACAGAATCATTATCACCAATATCAATAGAAGTTTCATGAGATGAAGTCTTGGCACTAGGGGTATGAATATCAGCAGTTACTAGGAATTTTCCATCTTTTGTTTTATAAGGCTTGCTATATGACTGCATATCAATAGATACACTCTCTTTGCTGGATTTTTTCTTTCTGTGGCTACCTCTTGGTTTGGAGGAGATCACCTCAATCTTACCTTCCTCCCTAGGTGACTTAACTTTTAAACTTTGGTCCAATGACCTTGACACCCCACTTTCTGAGTCTGTCACAACTATTACTGGAACATTTTTCAGATCCTTTCTTTCCTCCTTGATTGCTTTGGGTTTCTTGAGTTTCTTCCCTTTGGAATGCATTAATCCCAGTGTGGTTTCCATTGGAAGACATACAGGGGCATCTCCTTGTCTTGGACTCTTAATCTCATCCAGTGGGATTTCAACACTCTGCATGGAGAAGTCATAATAGTCCCAAGTTGGGGTTTCTGGTCTTGGTCCAGACTTATTTTTCACTTCATTATATTTCAAATCTTCTACCTCTATAGGGACACTGCAGTCACCTGTCCCTGACATGCTCGTGTCTTGCAAACTTTCAACCTTTGTTTTGGTTTTGACAGATTTCACAACAGAGGAAAAGGCAGATTTTCTGCTTGGTTCTGCTGCGTCATCTGTAATGTCTGTCATTTCAATCACATTTGAAATGCTACTGTAACCAGACTCATTCAGCTCTTCCTCTACAAACTCTCCAGGGATCGCAACTCTAGCTGTGTGTCCCGCATCCACAATCATGTCTTCATCTCGCTCTTCAATTTGTTCTTCCCCAATATTCAAAACAACATTCCGTGGAGTAATGGCATCTTTAGCGAATGTGACCTTCTTCAGATCAGGATCACTGGCTGCTCTGTCAGAAATTTCTGACAAATCACTTTCAGACAGATTCCTAAAGTCGGGATTGCTGTAGAAGATCTTGGCGGAATTTGTTATCTGGAGTTCAGAAGCACAGTATACTCTCATGTTAGTGGGAATCGTGTGATTAACACATGGAATTAGAGGGTATTTCTCTTTGACAATTTTTTTAACGGCATCCTTTAGTGACATATGAAACATGCCAATGAGAAAAGATCTCTTGCTGTACTTTTGAGTAATGCAGACTTCTATCTGAACACTCTTTTCTTTAATCATGGAAGCAGAGATACCTTCATACTCTAACTTTTTGGAAAATTTAAAAGTGGAAGGAGAGAAAACATGCTGAATACCTCCTTTATTTGTTGGTGATAGAGAAGATTTGATGTGGGCATCAGAACGATCCACTTTTATTTCTTCTGTTTTCCGCTTGGAATCTTTTTTCCTGTCAGGCATCAGAAAGCTTTTCACGTATATGGTATTAATGTTGGATGTCTGAGCTGCAGAAGAAAACTAATATCTAATTTCAAGGACTAATATTAAAAGATGTTAAACTGAATAATCTATGCTGTCAAGAATATTATTATAGAATGTTATTATTAAAACACATGTACTGGACTTACGCGGAGGAAGTAGAAGGTCACTAATCTGCCAAACTTTTATTTTTAAAGTTTCCTTGTGTGAGTGGTATTCAAATGTAAGGTGAAGATAACCCATGGCTGTAAAATTGAATCAAAACTTTTGATATTGTACAAATGAAAGAATAAACTGTACTGCTATAAAATGTGTGTTTCATCAGAGGTTACAAGTCTGATGGTCTAGCTCAAGTTGGAAAATATGTGTTGAAGCATTGGTTTTACAACATTATAAAGACCACGTGATGTTGAGTGTTTGTATAAAGAGTTATGTAAATTGTGTGAACTACCTGGTGGTTTGATGTCTTCTGCCTGTCCATCCTCAGCTTCCTGTGATATCACTGCGGACGAGACATGTGACTGGTCACATGATTGATCTTGAGCCTCTTCTTGAAGCTGTTTTTTAACTTCCTCTGTTGACTTGACCATGAGCTCCTTCACCTCTGTTAAAAAAAAACAGGAAAAATTAGGTTTTTTCTTTTAAATTTTAAATTACATTTGAGGAGATTTTACAAATTATTATCAAAATTGTTTATGAACCCTACCTAATATTCATTATATAGCAGACATATGTGGCTTAGGCCTCGATAAATAAAGTATGTGTTTCTGATTATACAACAGAAATAAAGATATAGAGCTGACCCCTGAATTTTTTTCTGCCAACATCTTTCCTGGAGTAAACTGTTTCAGTTTCACTATTAGCAATTATACTAATCTTGATCACTTCTGTGTTTGAGAAAATGCATATCGTACACACATTAATCAGAAATATTTGGAATGGAGAAAGATGGCAGCATGCAAAAATTTAAAAAAAAAACTATGTGTTGAAAATAAATTAATTGTTGAAAAAGTCCAATAGAATTATGTTAAAATAAAATGATTTCCCTACCTACCTACATAAATTTAATTATTTTGTACCTACCCTATATATTTTATGTGAGTCATAAAACACTTATCTTTCAATTGATTGAGTGATTATAAATAATTTAATGATATATCTGGACATACATTAATATTCATTTATCTTGGTCTTATATCCTATACTTACTTGATTAATACATGTATGATATCATTTCCATTATCAAACTGAGTAGTCATCAAAGTTTTAATAGTACTGTAGTACATGTAATACTCCTTACTTAATTTATTTTCTTTTAAGTAAATACCGTATTCCATTAAAAATGTACATCTAATTCTATGCCAACAGTTTGTGTAATTCCCTGTCATATATGATTTGATTCTGTCTTGCAATAATTGACAACAGAAACTTTAGAAGAGCTATATAGAGGCATTCAACTACTGGTAAGTTCTCTCTCAGCATTAGGAAGAGATGTTAGTTAATAGTTATATGCATAAATACTATAATGCAAATTCCCCGCTATAAGAGTCTACTGGAAGTTTGTTGTTACAACTACAGAGAGCAATGATGAACAAACCTGTTTCAACATCAATTTCATCATTTTCATCTGTTGAAAACATTTTGAAACATGAAAGTCTACATTAAATTGCTTTCTCTGAAATTGTCAATTTTATTGCATTTGATACATATAATTTATTGAAATCTTGTTTGTTAAAAAAAAACAGAATCTCAAACTTACTAAGTGATTCCAGCATACTGAAGCATTCTCCTGTAGCTAAGTCCAGGCATGACTTTCCCTCACCATTCTTTATGTCGTGACGACCACCAGCATCAATCAGGAGACGCAGACATTCAACGTGCTGTTCTTGTGCCGCATAATGAACTGCTGTATTACCCACCAACAAATCTTTCTTGTTTGGATCACCTGATTTAATATTTAGTGAATATATTATCATCTTTTAAAAAGATAACATGTCATATAAAAATACTTTTACATGTAATAGTCTCTATTATGTTTATTTTCATTAACCTTAACACTTGTCACATTTTATATTAATAGGAAACGAAATTTTTCTAACATTTAATAATAAGTTGTTTGACTGTCAACACTTTAAGGCTCTCTTGGTCTTATATCATAGGGCATATTGGCCATTACAACCTGGTAGGCAGCTTAAAAAAAGATACCCCAGTAGTAAAGTTGAGACTTGCCTGACATTTTTTTTTAATTCATAAACTACTAAATATTAGCATGACTTTCACACCCTGCAATTGACAAGCCTCTTTAATTAATGTTTTCTTTACAAGATCATAATTTCACATATTCCTAGAATCCTAGATGATAACACCAGATCCTCTGCATTTTTTACAACTATACTACACAATATATATTTTGAGTAAGGTGCCGTCCTAGCCCCTGAAATGCAGTTTAATAATTCCAACTAAGTTTACCTTTCTTTGATAAGAGCAATCTCAGAATGTCCAACTCTCCATTATTTGCTGCCTCATGCAGTGCACTCCATTGGTACAACCCAATAAGATTAGGGTCATATCCCTGTTGGAGTGCTATTTTAACCTCGTCTATGTCACCATATCTAACAGCCTCATGTAATTTAGTATCAAATGTGCCCTCTAGGCTTCCCATAAACTCTGAAACAAAGATGTTTCGTACTGAAAAGTTTGTAAACGTGAAATGTAGAATAGGGCATTTAATAGAAACATGCAAACTATTACATCTGACTTATTTCTATAAGAAAATAATTTGTGACTGAAATTTTTCACTTAATTACGTAATGAATGATGAATATTTTCTATCTATATATGAAATTTAAAGCAACAATGCTGAAAGAAAGTACATGTGCAAATTCATAGCTGAACTTATATTACTGAGGAAATTCGAACATCTAAAGATCTCTGAAATAAATGGGTAAAACTGAAGAATATTCAAGCTGATTTTAGTAACTGGAAAATTAAAAATATGTAAATAAACACTGATATAAATATACCGTTTCAACTGCAGCATTTACATCCATAATGTTGAATTATTCTATACGTCATGCCTCAGTGCTTGTGTAACTACTGACGCCATTTGCGAAAAGATTAGTGACCTTCGATACCTATCTAGAGCTTTCAATTTCGATAGTCATAAATGAAAGGAATTCCGATGATGACGGTGCATGCTGGGAAATAAATGGCGCCTATCATCGCAAAGAGAGACAGTGCGGACTGCCCTTGAAATTAAAGTTGTCTTCATGATATTTCTGCACAGCGGCTCAATACTTAAAGCAGGATAAAAATCTACACACATGCTTAAGTTCATTGTAATGGGATTACGTGGTTTTTTCTTGCTGGCAGCAAAGATTTGGAGTTTTCTGTGTTACTGTTTCAAAAGACAAGCAAGATCTGTAAGAGTTCCTGTTGCAAAATTTGTAAACATACAATATTTCGATTTTGTACTTGTATAAAATAATATGAATTAATCATTGAATAATGTCAGAACTTGTATTTTGTTCAAAGATATGAAATTAGGCTTGAAATGACATTAACTTAAAAAAGAAAATAAACATTGTAGGTTAATATGTAGGACAGTTGAGTTTACAGGATAACCATTAAGAGCTTGAATAATAACTTACAAATAGATGTGTTTTAGAAGAGAACACACTATCTGCAAAAGTTTCTGTATTCCGATTTTGATTGATGTTAGTTACTGATATCAAATGATATACATAGCCCCCGCATTATGTACATTACTACATCTATCCACCTAAAAATGCATGTTGTAAAATCATTACCATTCTGCAGAGAACTTGGATAGGCAGCTTTTTATGCTACTCTAAGACGAGATGAATGGTTTGGTGATATATGCCCAATACATCCAAACTTAATAAATATGCCCTTTAGGCAATATTCCTTTGGTTTATTCAGGGTAAACCCTTTGAACAGTAGGAAATCACTACCTTCAAACGGGGGTACAGCCACCTGGCTAATTAACATGCCTCAAGCTGTCGTTTTCACTGAAAAACGTGTGGTCCACAAAATATGCTCGTGCAAAGTGATGGATTATTTCTTATTCTGTATGTACTCAAATTTGATAGATTAAAGATGTTTAAAGAGATTGTATTGCGAAAAAATATATGTTTATTGCAAAAATCGACTTTTTCTCTCCCAAAGTTAGCTGAATATAATGTGATAAAAAGCCTTAACCAAGGTTTGATACAACTAGATTTTTTATGCATATATTTAATAAAAACGGATGAATAAACAAACAATGTTTTGTTTAAAGTTAAACTATATATTATTCCGTTCCCCGGTATTACAAATTTTGTGTAATGAACATGTTATTAATTATTTTTCGAAACTTTCTTCTGTGCCCGTCAGAATTTCCTCTGTCCTGTAAACAAACTTTTGTGCTTCAGTTTAAATGAGGTAAATAAAAACGAAAAGTAATTTATTATTTTTTTTAAAAAAACAAAGGTGTAGACGAATCATTTTTGCATGTTTGTGATTTTTTTAAAAAATATATATTTTTTAAATAAAGAAGAGTTATCCTTTTTTATTATATTCTTTTTGTTGCAATAATTGTCAAGTCAAACCCCAGGTGTGCTAATTGTGTTGGTATTCAAAAAAGAAATGTATGGAATACACAGTGACATACATTTATATGAACCATATGCCATGTAACAAAAGTAATGTCCCAATTTTTACACTTTGATAACAATACGCAATGTGCCAAACATAATTTTAGACAATTGATAGCATACATGGCATATATTTTAGAACTGGTTGCCTTTGACCTCATAATAATGTTCAAGATAGAATTATATTTATTTATTTATTTATTCACCAATCAAGGGCCCTCTGAGGGCATATACAATTAAGAGACAAACAATATAATCATTATTATAACAATGCAAAATTGACATGATCCTCACTTGCAAAAGTTCTCAGATTTGAATTATAACTGTCATACCAATACAGTATTTGAGTATCATACATCAAACATGAATGGTATCCATTATTCAGGAAGTTTTTGATGTTTTGAATTCTTTTTTACATGAATAGGAAAAGAAGTTACATTTGTACTTCCATCTATATCTGGTTAAACATTAAGTCTACTTATTTAAAGTTGTCCCTTCTTATATGGTTGAAAACACTGACAAGTTTGGGTGCATGATCATAATTTTCCTATAAATTTTGAAATTGAAGTCAATTTTAAGGAACCTCTATGTACTAAAGCAATTTTTTAGAGACATTGAAGAAATTATATTGTATAAGATATGAATGCCAGGCTTATCTATTTTCTTTTTGGATATATTGCAATTATCATCAGAAAATATGTTCAAAAACAAATATTGCTAAACAGAAATCCATGTTTTTATTGAAATGGGTAAAATATTATGCAAATAAAGTGAAACTGTGTTTAATTAATCAATTAACTTGCCCCAAATAAAAATCTAAGGATGAGTTTTAAATTGATTAGAAATTGTATATCATACAAAGGATTTCAATGCAGTTTTGCTTTAGATCTAAAGGCATCTTACTCTAATTGCATCAAAAACACAAAAAATCAGAACTTAATCTGTGATGTAGAGGGTAAAGAGAGTTTCTAATTCTCAGGGAAGCTACTTTAAGAAACATAATACAATATTACAATACTGCAAGAGATTTGTTGACAAACTCCCTGACCCCCACCCCCCCCCCCCCCCCACCCCATTTATCTTTACTACTTGTCAATGTCCTCTTAGAAGAAATTCCTGGATGTCCATAGTTACTGCAAAATATCAATGCCTTGGTACATCTTAAAACCGTCTCAATGTTCTTTTGGCTTTGATTTAAAATTTTGTTGGACGATTTATAAACATTAATATTTATCTAGTAAATATTATGTCCTTAAAGGAAACTATTATACAATGTATACTAAATGTATCAGGACAGGTGGAATTTTATCTATTCTCTGACACAAATTCCTTTAATGTTAGTGTATGGGCTGCAATCAGACTTTATAACGTGTATTAGTTTGAAAAATGCGTGATAACATTTTTATGGAATTTCTATGGTTTAAATGTGAATGAAATATGTAAATGTTATATTCTAAGAAATAACATTTCTTAAAAATATGTTAATATTTACGGAAGCATATTAATTAAGGAATGACTCTAATTCTTGGCCAAATTATCGAGTATAATATGGTTTGGAAGTTTACGCTTTATAATCCGCGAAGCGGATTATAAAAAAGCGTAAACTTTCCTGGAAATAGCCATATTATACTCGATAATTTGGCCAAGGATTAGAGTCATTCCTTATAATTTAATTTTAAAATAATTAAACAATTTGGGATGTAAAATTGTGTTGTTTTTATGAGTTCAAATTTACCGCGCAATAATACAACCGTAGTAACGGAAGTGATGGGAAGCGAGGGGAGGTAAAAACTGATACATAGTTCTAGCAGCCATGATGCTTGTTTACACGAGGTAAAATCGAGCAACTGTTTGAAATTAAAGGTACATTCATTAAATCTGGAATTTTCCATGAATCCCAAGGACTGGAAATAGGGGATTGATGAATACAGATGATTATGCTGGTTGTCAAGGGGGTGTGTCCCCATACCAAACCAGATTATACAAAATGTTATGCTTTCCTTTTTCGAAATCAACCAATGGGAGGCAAGAATACAAGCAAAATTAAATTATTAATGGATATTCATCATCTTTAAGCAAAAAGAGGTCAGAGGGAAATTCTATATAAAATTTAATTGCATTTAGAAAAGTAGCAGGTTATATTGGAAAGAGCCCTTCTTGACTTTTTAGCTCACCTGAGCCAAAGGCTCAAGTGAGCTTTTCTGATCAAAATTTGTCCGTTGTCTGTCGTTGTCGTCGTTGTCGTAAACTTTTCACATTTTCATCTTCTTCTCAAGAACCACTGGGCCAATTTCAACCAAACTTGCTACAAAGTATCCTTGGGTAAAGGGGATTCAAGTTTGTTCAAATGAAGGGTCAGGCCCTTTTCCAGGGGGAGATAATAATGAATTAGAGAAAAAATAATGGCATTTTTAAAAAATCTTCTTCTCAAGAACCACTGGGCCAGAAAAGATGAAACTCATGTGGAATCATCCTCAGGTAGTGTAGATTCAAGTTTGTTCAAATCATGACCCCCAGGGGTAGGGTGGGGCCAAAATGGCCGATCAAAGTTTTACATAGGAATATATAGGAAAAATCTTTAAAAATCTTCTTCTCAAGAACCACTGGGCCAGGAAAGATGAAACTCATGTGGAATCATCCTCAGGTAGTGTAGATTCAAGTTTGTTCAAATCATGACCCTCAGGGGTAGGGTGGGGCCAAAATGGCGTAAAAATAGATGTTAAAGCCACTAATAAAGTGCGATCAAAGTTTTACATAGGAATATATAGGAAAAATCTTTCAAAATCTTCTTCTCAAGAACCACTGGGCCAGAAAAGATGAAACTCATGTGGAATCATCCTCAGGTAGTGTAGATTCAAGTTTGTTCAAATCATGACCCCCAGGGGTAGGGTGGGGCCAAAATGGCCGATCAAAAATTACATAGGAATATATAGGAAAAATCTTTAAAAATCTTCTTCTCAAGAACCACTGGGCCAGGAAAGATGAAACTCATGTGGAATCATCCTTAGGTAGTGTAGATTCAATTTTGTTCAAATCATGACCCCCGGGGGTAGGGTGTGATCCAAAATGGCCGATCAAAATTTTACATAGGAATATATAGGAAAAATCTTTAAAAATCTTCTTCTCAAGAACCACTGGGCCAGGAAAGATGAAACTCATTTGAAATCATCCTCAGGTAGTGTAGATTCAAGTTTGTTCAAATCATGACCACCAGGGGTAGGGTGGGTCCAAAATGGCTGATCAGTTTTACATAGGAATATATAGGAAAAATCTTTAAAATTCTTCTTCTCAAGAACCACTGGACCAGGAAAGATGAAACTCATATGGAATCATCCTCAGGTAGTGTAGATTCAAATTTGTTCAAATCATGACCCCCGGTTGTAGGGTGGGGCCAAAATGGCCGATCAAAATTTAACATAGGAAATTAGGAATATATAGGAAAAATCTTCTTCTCAAGAACCATTGAGACAGGAAAGATGAAACTCCTATGGAATCATCCCCAGGTAGTTTAGATTCAAATTTGTTCAAATCATGACGCCCGGCAATAGGATGGGGCCAAATGGCCGATAAAAGTTTTACATAAGAATTTCTAGGGAAACCTTTTAAAATCTTCTTTTCTAGTACTTTAAAGCCATGCTTAGTGATATTTATAGGGAATCATCCTTAGGTAGTGGATTCAATTGTTCAAATCATGACCCCCTGGGGGGGGTAAAATTTTAAGCCCCCCCCCCCCCCCCCCCCCCCCCCCCCCCCCTCAGTAAACTTTCAGTTCTGGTCTGATGTGTGCTCCTAGCCAATTGCTCAGGTGAGCAATGTGGCCCCTGGGCCTCTTGTTTACTTTCACAATGTCATTATCAGTCATTCATATAAGATAGCAATAAGACTGACTATGCAATGGGTTATGACAAAAAAATCAATGATAAACGTTACAATATTTTGCATTTAATAGCAGTTAATATACCAGTATTCATTGTGCACTAACAGTTCTTAGCAACTAAAATTGTATGTGTTGTAGGCATTAATGTGGAAATGATCTAATATTGATTATGAGTTATGATGTCTTGTTATTGCAGGTTATACAATACCAGACTGTGAAGTATGAAGTTATACCACTGTCCCCTCTATCTAAACACCGGCTTAGTGAGTACTTTTATAATTTGTACAAGTACAGAAATATATGTAAACAGAAATATTATTCTTTTGGGGATTGAATTTCCTTTAGTTTGTTGATAACATTTATCAGCTGCCTATATCCCCCTATATAAAGACATCGAAATGGTAAGATGAAAGTAGATGGAGCACCACCAACAAAATTAAGTCTCCTTAAAATTGTTTTAGGTCAAAGTAAAATTACTTCTACAGTCTTAATCATATTTTCAATTAATATTCTGTCTATACCAATTTGAAAGCATCAGCCTTGTTTTTTCATTAGAATTGTGGGCTGTGTATTTCTAAATCACTATAGTTAGTTTGAATGACTGCTCCCTGTATTAATTTTGAATTAATGTATTGGCAGCTGTTTTATTTTCCAAGTTATCACTATGCTCACTGTGCATTATAAATTGATTATTTTTCTTTCTTCATAGGTATGTTGAAAAAGAAAACCCTTGTTCTAGACTTAGATGAAACATTAATTCATTCACATCATGATGGAGTCCTAAGACAGACTGTGAAGCCAGGGACTCCCCCAGACTTTGTTCTAAAAGTGTGTCAATGTTTAACCTCAATTGTTTGAACAAAGACTAAAAATTATATTGATTCATAAATAATATAGTCTGTGGATTTTCTGCAGGCTTGTTGATTTCAAAGAATTAAATGTTTTAGTTAACAATTAAAATCATCCTAAATTTGCACATGTAATTATACAGTAGATTTTTTTTCTATTTTTATTTTGATTTTTGCAGGTCAATATAGACAGGCATCCTGTTAGATTTTTTGTTCACAAAAGACCACATGTAGACTACTTTTTGGAAGTGGTAGGAAACTTTATTTTTCAAGATAAAACAATATGAAGCATGTCCATAAAATACCAGGGTATCTTTCACTGCAAATTACCAGTATCTAAACTGTAAATTAATATGCATTTTGATTTATTGACAGCTCAATTTAGAAAAAAAAATTGTATAAAACAAATGCACTTAGTCTAACATTGAATCTTTGTTTGTAAGGACATGAAATTTTGTCACAAAGTAGGTAGAAATTATGAAATTTTAACAGGATTTATGCATGTAAATGTAACGATAACATTTCTGGTGTTTTGCTGTAATTTTACTGTTCATGATTCATTTAAAGTGACTTTGATAAGCAATCATTGTAACATTGATAGAATACTAACCTCACAGTAAAATTCACCTTATCTTATTCCCAATAAAAGATGAGTTTTGTACACTCAGCTGATTTGCTAGTACATTCATTTTATTTTTTTTTATTTTTTTTGTAGGTTAGTCAGTGGTATGAACTTGTAGTGTTTACAGCAAGTATGGAAATATATGGCTCTGCGGTGGCCGACAAATTAGACAATAATAGAAATATATTACGGAGGAGGTATTATAGACAGGTATTTATCAGGTTTCTAGTGATGTCAATGCTTACAGTATTTGTAGAACACCAATTTTCTTTTACCTAGCATGCAATTTATTTTATAGAATTTTAAAAATGTTTTGATGTTCTGTATTTACATCAGAATATATTTTTTTAGGACAACTACACTCATTTATCTCATATTTTTGTGTTTTATAGTTCACGGTTATGATCTCATTTTCTCAGAATTCTTGATTATTTCACAGAATCAATTGCATTCTGTGTTTGATATCAGAGTTATCTTTCTTAAGAGGATGAAAAGTATATAACATATTGGGAAATTTTATTCTTTAATCTTAAAAAAAAATTCTGTACTCTGGCTAAATTTATATATATGTAATGTGGTAGTTTTATTTAAAATGGATGTTGTCATTTTTTTTTTTTTTTGCAGCATTGTCGATTTGAATTAGGTAGCTATACCAAGAGTCTTTTGGAGATAAATGAAGATCTGTCGAGTGTTTTTATACTAGACAATTCCCCAATAGCATATAAGTATTATGAAGGTATGATTTTATAGACCACTTTGTTTCCTAATGTTTTGACATTGATAAGCAATTTGTTTAATTGTCTTTTGCGGTGGTACATTTTCTGTTATTCTTTCTATGTCTAATGAAGTAAAATAATGAAATCAAACTACTAAGGGTCTAAGACTTCTAGGCTGGTAATTTATTGTTTTAGGTATTTACCTGTAGTCTGTATTATTAATAAGGTGAACATTCTCATTTCAGATAATGCAATTCCTATAAAGTCGTGGTTCAGTGACCCTACAGATACGTCACTTTTGTGTTTACTGCCGATGCTGGACGCATTACGATTCTGTAATGACGTCAGATCAGTGCTGAGCAGGAACATTCACAAGACGTACAACATGTTAGACTGAGTTCACTTTTACATGTATGTTTGTGTGTAAATTTTACCCAGCAACAAGTTCTAGTGCGAGACTGCAGAATGAGCAAGCTTGACTGTGACAGAACGGTGTATGGATGATGAAGAAGCAGAAAGGCTTAGGAGTCAGAAGAAGGACATAGGAACAGATTTACTGCTAACTTCAGACCGTGTTTGTTTATTCCCAGATTAAAAAAAAAATTCCAGGGCTTTTTAGACCAAACAGAATTTGCTCTCCTTCTGATATTTTGTTAAGAAGCTGCCATGTGCTTCATGGATTGAAATCATGACATTGATTTTTTAAGTGTTTTGTTTTGTTTGCACAAAGGTTGGTCTTTTGTTAAACTGAAGTCTTAAAAGATTTTTACAATTGATTAATTGATACACGTTTACTATATTCAACTGATATTGCAAGCTACATATATTTGTCCATTCATGAGAAAAGGGAGTAGTTCAAATTCATTTTCTCAACTGTGTAAGAAAGTTATTTTTGTATGAGTGATTCACTTCATTGTGAAAGTTTTTGGTGCAATGATTTCATAAAATTTATTATGTACCATGGAAAAAAATTATGTTTTTAAATGGCAGCTGCAGTGCATCAGGACGTACTAATTCTTTCTCAAACCAATAAGAGTTAGTTAATACTATGTCTGACGTCTGACAGTTTTGTAATGCTTCTGAAATAATATCATGTCTTTTGTATTATTAGCTACTGTAACATTGTAATTTTTGTATGTTAAGATTTTTTTGTGTGTGCGATGCAGATGAAGACATTCTGTACATCATATCAATGTCATAATTAGGCATTTACTCACCTACAGCTGTTGTCAAAATCATGTCAGTCTTTACATTACATTGGTTTAAATGTCATCCCTTTCATTGTAAATGTCATTTTATCAGAAAATCCATAAAAAAAAATTTAAATTCATACTGTTTCAATGGTTAAAAAAGTAAGTTACATATAGATGTATGTCATGTTCTCATATGGGTCAGAGATGAGACGAGGAGTGGGGGGGTAAGTTTATAGGTTTTTTATTAAGTTTGAAACTTTAAATTATTGTTTACTAATTGTTGCGATGAGCTCTTAATTCCAAATACACAATAAAATATTCAATTTTTCTTTGGAAACTGATCAGTGCAGTTAGTGCCAGTAAGTTTGATGTGATAGTACCCTATGCTGTGATTTTAAGGAGAAAGGGACTTCAAAAGTCCATATATATGTTGTTGGCCATTGTTAATGCTTATTTAGACCAAGATAAAATCTGAAATTGACTGTGATCAATGGTATGCTGTTTACTTGTTACTATTATTAATTCTTAGATTCCAAATTATGGTTAAAAATTGAATCATCTCACCTGTATGCTTGATATTAGGTGTTAGCAGGTAGTTGATACTTGTAACACAGTGTAAAATGAATTAAAGTCACATCATAATTGAATCAAAAACTGGTTCAAGCATTTCAATGGTTTTTACATATTAAATATTTTATCAGTCCCTAAGTTAAATTTGAAATATGTGTTTTTGTTAGGGTGACATGTAATCATATATTAATAGGGTATTATATATAGGCAGTTAAAATTGCTTGACCAATTAATTGGCATAAAGAATAGTAACAAAATATAAAACTAATTAGATTTTGTTTTTAATGCTTTTTTATCGAACAATTTTTTAGGATCCTTCAAAAACTATATATAATTTTGTCATGTATGTATTTTGTCCAGTTATTGAAATGCAATTAGGGGTTAAGAGAGCAAATTGGTAAAAGCGGTGTGTGTAAACGATGTACAATGTATTATACTGGATATTTTTTTCAAAACACCAGTACCTTTTTCACCACATTGTTCTCAAATATTGAGTTGTGACCAAATTTTACCTCACATTTATCAACTACTAAATTTACAATTCAATTTATACTGTGTTATTCATCAGTTCCATTTAAGAGATCACATTTTTTTTAATTCTTTATGAAAACAGAATGTTGGTACAAGTACTAGTATTTTCTTGAAAATGAGTTTTTGATGATGCTGTAAAAGTAAAATTGCCATATACATGTATTTAGTTGTTTTTAGAAGAAACAACTTCAGTATGTAAATACAGGAAATAATAATAATGAAATTTCTTATTATTTTGATACAAAATTTAATTCTTATGGATGTTAAATTTATTGTACATATCTAAAAGGAATACCTGCTTTTCATTGATTTTTTTCTTTGCAGTAAACATAGTTGTGATAAGTGGACATGTTTCAGGTATATATTACACTCAATTCAGGATGATTGCTGGATAGTATATAAAATGGCTGCCTTATAACTATAAATATTTGTTAAAACATTGTATTACAAACCTGTTCTTAATTACATGTGCATGTACCTCATTTTCTCAAGTCTTGAAACTTTTCTTTGACTACAGTAAAACAGATATTAGTTTTCTTCAGTGATACAGCCATTAATACTGCATAAATTTGACTATTTGCATGAAAATTCATTGTATGCTGTTCCAAATTCATGAAAAAAAGGGTTTTTCTCATGAAATCATTACTTATTTTGACAAGTATATCAAGATATGTTGAGGAAAAAAATTTTATTTCCCCTTAAGCTCTGAAATCATTCATTTGACCATTTGTAGAACTACTGTAACTGCATTTTGTTGCGTATCTTTCTTTGTTAAAATACAGTCAATGTTAGAGACTATGTTACTTTAAGGAGAATACTCTTGATTAGAATTGAAAGAAAGAATGAGATACATGTATGCTTTGATCTTTGCATTTTTCAATGGATTTTTTTTTTTAAACATGTTCAACAATTTTAGACATTTCCCACAAAAACAAGCAATAATTTTTTTTTTCATTCAAGTTGCCACATCAACCTGGTCTTTAACCAATAAAATAATTGTTTGACTACTTCTAGTTTTCTTCAGTAATTTCAGAAAATGTATTCCATTTGGAATGAATATTGAGCTCATGTCTTGTTAATAGAACTTGAAAAATGCATTTTTAATAGATCAGGTATGAATCATATTTCAACATCTGTCTGGTATATTTGAATTATTAAGTTCAGTTTATGTGTTCTTCTGATCATTCATAACATAATCACGGTACATAATCAAAACTTCTGATCATTCATGACATAATCACGGTACATAATCACGGTACTCAGTTTCTTGACTGTTGAAATCAAATTCTATAGAATGTTATATAAAAAAAGCTTTCTTTTGTATTTTGACACTGTGAAAGTATGGTATGAATGATTTCCATTGAAAAAAAACATGTATATTATTGTTGTCTGATATGAAAGTAAATGTGATTAAAATGTTAAGATGTGGCAGATCATTTTGTATTGTTATACAATATGGCAAACATAAAATATAAATGTTGTGTACCTTGTTCCTAATCAGGAGGAGTTGCTCCCCTTGTACTATAGTATAGTGAGATAGTGAGATAGTTGCAGATACAAAAGTACAATAAAATGCTGGATACTGGCAAAATTAATGTGCTGATATTCTTTGTGTTGCAATTGTTTTTTAAACATTTACTAAAAGGAACACCCAACTTAAATTTCAACAATTTTGATAGGAATTGACATATTCAGGTCACATGCAGCATGGGCCATGGATTCAGATTTTGCAATGAAGGTCGAACTCCAAGGTAAAGGTCAAAATATTGGTCCCAAAAGAAAGGCCTGATCACATGGAAAAACATGAACTATGAAGGCCATAGGCTAGCACGTCATTCAAATGTTAAATGCAAAGGCTAATTTTATTTTTTTCAATTGTACTTCAAGGTCAAGGTCATGAGGTTAAAAATATTAGTAACACATGAAAGGTCTTGTCACAAGATTACAAAAGAATGAAATATCAAACGCCAACCGTTTAAAAATTACGACCAAGTTAGAACTCAAAGGCCAAAATCATTGGTAGCCATGCAAGGAAAGATGATTATAGTGGTGCCTCTTCTAAACTTGTGAATTTCATGGGCTCTTAAGGAGGGGTCCTGGTGTTAGGTAGGGATGTTTAATAAACATGTATAGTGAAAAGCATTATTTTCCCTAAAAATGATCATGGGTATTAATTAAGTCAACAACATAACTTCATAGATATGATTAGCAATTATGCCTATTCCAAAATTGAGGATTTTTAACTTCAAAACAAAACTTCTGAGTATTACTATTAAGCAGATAAATTAAAAGCATGGTTATGATGAACAAGGACGCTTCCTCTATAATTGTGAATTATGGCCCCTGAAGCAGATTTTCCGGTGCTCGAGCACGGCTTTATAGATTATCTTGTCAAAATGCATGAGTTCTTTAAATATCTTCTCTGCCCACAGATAATTTTATCAGACAAACAAAACGGTATGGTTATGATAATCAAGTACTTCTCCTCTAAATTTATGAAATTCATATATCAGGGGTTCAGTTGTTTGGACGGGACTCGGTTGAATAATTCTTTGAAATTCTCCCCTTTGCTTCCGGGTAAAATAACTTCTGAAAAAAAAATGGTAAAATAAAAAAGTGAACGATGTTCCCGTGTAGTAAATGACAATTTTCTTGCAAATCTTTATACAAATGGAACCAAGGATCAGAAACATGAAACCATTTGGTTTAGGGAATAATTTAAAGAGGAAAATGTCAACTTTGTACACATTTAAAGCAGACAAGCTAATTACATAGATGATGAGTATGTAAAAATGAGAAAATGAACTGATTATAAAAAAATATGCCAAGTTTTTCATTTATAAATTAATTTTACTCGTTTTGTGTACTAATAACTCCACTGCACGTAGAAAGTGACCTTAATTACTTAGACTTTCGGGGTTTCTGTGTCATGGTCAACATAAATGTTTTAAACATGCCAATCTAAAAGATATTGCAATTTTTGAGGCAATTAAAATGTTTCAGTTTTTTTATGTGTTTACAGTTTGTAAAAGATTTTTGATTAATCATATTTTAATGCATCTTTAACATATTCGTAACTCAGATGCTTTTGGCCTAAAAGTAGAGGCGCATTATACATTGCATGGACAAATATACAAATACGTGTATAAATATTTCGATGCAATAATTCGTAAAATCTCCCAAATCACATCCTGAATAAAGAAATTCTACAAACTAACAGAAAACTTTCACGACGTTTCAATATATACAGGGGCAGTGTTTGAAATAGATATCGCTCCCCTTTGTTAGCTGATTAAAATCTAACCGAAGGAAATCCTTGAAATTTCATTACAGTATTATCCAATGTTTTTTTTTTGTTTGTTTGTTTTTTGTTTTGTTTTGTTTTTGTTTTGTTTTTTGTTTTTTGTTTTGTTTTTTTTTTGTTTGTTTGTTTGTTTGTTTGTTTATTTTTTTTTTTGTTTTGACAATAAGGAATTTTTTTTTTTGATAATAAGGAACTGGTACCGTGGGATAAGTTATCATCGATTGAATCTCAATGCAAAAATTATTTTTCAGAGGTAGCGTAAGTTCGTTACAAAATGCATTTTTACCTCCATATCTACAACAATTTATACATAAAATTTCCCTCTATCCTTTTGTCATAAATTTATCCTACCTGGATATTCTATATTTTTTCCAAGGTCGATGAAGGTCGAGTAAAACAACACTCATATTGTAATGGATACAAGTAACTCAATATCCCTGTCAGAAAATCACGCTTTGCTACACAGGTATTTGAAAAAAAATTAAACTTCCAACAAATGTTGAAGATTTTTTTCTTTTATATTTAAAAACATTATTCTTTAAAAATAAAAACTTTAAAAGCTTTGAAATGAGAAGAGATTATCTAACTTCAGTAATCATCTGTATGCCAAGTCGTAATGCTGGTATGTTGAATAATAATTTTGTCGAAAAAATGAAAAAAAATCACGTTCCAGTTGATGTTAAAGGTACAAAGCACATGTTTACATTCATGATTATTTTCTGCAAAGTGCATATTCAATATTTATATTAATGCTACCCATAAGTTACATGTAGTTTTGGTGCATTTACATTAACATTTGTCATGTTCTAAATTTTGAATTTACCGGGTGGGAGTAAATACAAAATTTAGAAGTTGTCATGTTCTAAATTTTGTATTTACAAACCCGGTTTAAAAATTGTACAAAATTTACTAAATTGTACAAAATTTACTAAATTGTACAAACGAAATTCAAAATTTAGAACATGACAATTGTTTAGATTGCAACTGATTCAATTCATCAATAGTTCAACTAAAAACTGGGTTTCTAAATTTCTTGATAAAAATGAGTGTTGTTTGATTGTTCATTACTCTCAGCCAATTTTGTTTAAACAATTAAAGACATTTCTTTTTAGGAAATCACACACACACACACACACAAAAAGAGAGAGAGAGAGAGAGAGAGAGAGAGAGAGAGAGAGAGAGAGAGAGAGAGAGAGAATATTTAT